TTGGTTGGAAAAAACTACATTTCCTACTAGACTGGAGCAGTTGGCTGTCAATTTTAAGCATTACATAATAAAGAGAAAATTACAAAAGTTAAAATGTGTAGCAACAGGATTTAAAAGACCGTCACAGGGTGTAGATTTCCTCGATTGTTCTTATACATGCCTGTAATTTTTAAAACACACTTTAACTATTATGACTTGACCTATCACCCGATTCCGGCTTGACGTCGACTTCTGGGACACATGTATAATTAATATTTCAGAAAGAAGCCTTATCCCTAATATTTTTCTAAAACATTAACACCCCCACCATGCAATCATTCAAATATTTCATCCCATTCCTAAGTGGCCGCTCTGGTGGCAGAAAATGTCGCCGATGTCTTCATTAGGAAGGCGCTGCTGCCCATCTCTTAGCTTGCTGCCCTGTGTCGCCTGTTAAGACACCCACGTAAGACATTAGGTGGTGAATATTCTTACACCGTTACTACACGGTCAACTAAATAATAAACAATTGCCAAACCGCCTGCTAAACATGACAACTATGGCAAATATCCCCCTAATGAGACAATATGTTATGGCGGAAGCCATATTCAGCGGTTTACTTTTATAGATAGGCATTGACGGTAACGGTATGCTATGCCAATTGGTATCAGGTGCAACGAGCCTTCCATCTAAATCATGTATTAGTCAGTTTATAAAAATTGGGGACACAGTTCAGATTCAGAAGCTTTAAATGTCATAAATATAACATAAATTAAAAAAAAAACCTTTTTTTTTTTAAATACTTTTTTTAGATTTTCTATGCTTTGGCCGTAAAAATAACATTAAATGTACGTCGCTCAGTGAGACCGAGATCCAAATTTATGGTTGTTAGACAGTGTAGATATCGAAATAAGTAAGTCAGATACTAAAATTGCTTTTATCGTCTTTTGGGTGAAGATTTTTACTCCCTTATGTGGGGTTTTTTATCGATAAATTAAAGTGTAATTAAAGTGTACTGGCCTTAAAGTTTTATTATTACAAATTCGGACATATTATTGTATAAAGATTTTACAATAATGTTGTGTATGTTTGTGTGTTTATAAATGACCGCTAAAGCCAAACTTAACAATTAGGCAGATATATAGATTATAAGTACCATTGAATGGGACAGGATAACTATTTTATTTACCTGGACAAAGCGAGCTTCAGGCTAATTTAATATATTTATTATGTTTAAAATTAGTTTTTAGATGATATCATTATCTTCATCGTCAGCATTACTCACTGGTGAAATTAGGCCTCCCCCGTGGAATGATGCTACAAAGCAACGTCCTAAGCCGCGTGCATCCATCAACTTTCTGCATCTGCTTCAGATTGGAAAAAGAAAATTAATGGTCACATCATATTAAAATGAACCTCATTGTGACTTCATTGAGGGAACCGTTTTCATTTGTCAATCTGAAACGGCTGAGTACGAAAGATGATATAGACGAGTTAATAATTATCATGATGCGAAATGCGAAAAATGTGTGACCTAGTATTTTGAAGTATCGGGCAATTTAACGGGTTTAAAAATCTATAGTCTAGCTTTGATGTAAATTTTCCCTTGTCTCTGATATTACGTCCTAGACTACTTGTAACGTTATCGCATGAGTACACTGATCTGAATCTAGCAAGATTAACAACAAAAACATTGTTTTTGATGTAGTGGCGTAGGCACAGGAGGAAAATGCGGCATTAGCATGGATAACAACGCGAAGACTCCTTGACCTAATTTTCTTATGGTTTTTCTATTTAACATATTTTTTAAGTTTTATAGATTACAAACCAAAATTTTGGTATATGATTTTTGACTGTATGACCTTGGATTGTATAAAAGGAAAACACGATATCATGTAATTTTATCTCGATAGAAAAAAATTGCAAAGTAGACTCTAATTACACTAGTTTACAAAATTGAATTTTTTTTATACCCGAAAATAAATGTATATAAATATGTTAATCTACCTTTCTTAAACCTAAAAGTATTTTATCACGTCACAATTTCTTCCTCCAGTCAAATGTATTTTTTTAACTATCTAAAGTGGTGACGACAGTTTATTGTTTATTCGTTCGCTTCAAACGACAATTATCTTGTTTCGGATTGATTTAAAATGTCGAGTAGAAGTGTAAACAAAGTTCTGATCGTTTTTGTTATGTTTGTGGACAGTTTATATTAAAAAAAAAAAGAAAAGATCCATTGTAGATCGTTAAAAAGTGTATATCTTAATTATTTTGGATTTCCTGTTGCAAATCAAGATAAAAGTGGGTGTCTCATGTGTTTTGCGAAAGCTGTAGAATAGTCTTATTCCAGTAGTCATCAGAAGAAAACGTTCACCGTCCATTTGGTTCACCAATGCTATGGTATGTTATTGGGATTGCAGGGTAGTTACACAAAATACTGTTGTTTCCTTGTTTGTGAGACAGTAAAGCGAAACAACCTCATTATGTAAGAAAAGAATGGCCTATTCGGAAGGAGTATATTCCGGGCAAAATGGCATTATATACGATGTTAGTAGACCCCGATAACATCATTCTACCCCCTTTACACATCAAATAGGGGCTCATGAAAATTTTTGTGAAGGCGCTTGACAAATACAGTGATGATTTCTTCAAAAAAAATCTTTCCAAACATTTCGGAGGGAAAACTGAAAGAGGGTATATTTGTTGCCCCACAAATCTGTAAAATTATGAAAGATTCTGTTTGAAAGCCTTTTATCTGTTAAGGAGAAATCGGCTTGGAAATCATTCAAAATGGAAAATATTTTGGGAAATAAAAAAAAGTGAAAATTTCAAAAAAATTGTTATCTATTTATTGGAAAATTTTCAAAAGATGGAAGTAAAAATTTCATTAAAGATTGATTTTCTACACTCGCATCCTTTTTTCCCTGAAAACTTAGGAAGTATGAGAGACGAACAAGGGGAACGTTTTCACCAAGATTTGAAGGTTTTTTAAGAACGACATCATGGATTTTGGGATGAAAACATGTTAGGGGATTACTGTTGGTCCATTATAAGAGTAACTAATTCAAATAGCTGTAAAAAAGAAGGCAAAAATTGTCATTTTTAATTTTTTTAGTATTAATACCAAAATTATGTATTTCAGTTATGTTAATAAATATTTCTTAAACCAGACGTGACAGTATATTTTTACTATTTTTTCTGGATATTTCTACCCAAATAAATAACAAAAAAACAACTTTCAGCTGGGGTATGAAAACCGTGTAAACTAGTGTTATTTACATTTCTCCATGACACCACTATATTCTTACGAATAAGTGCATGGAGTTATTTTAAGGCCTAGTAAATAATAATATCTAAGTTCACATAAACCAGTTTTTTAATCCATAACGAAGTTTTGTGAAAATAAATAAAAATGTTGTTTGGCGCTTACTTAGTTTTTTTCCGAGCGCTTGCTCGGTATGGCTATCTCATAATTTGCGTACTATGAAGTCATTGCATCACTTTCATTTTGACACTCCCTCAGTCGTCCGTTAGCTTCACCGACAAAGGAATAAGCCACGCTCCCAAAACTTCGATTCATTTTCAAGGTATCCTCTTAAGCTTCTTAGATCGAAAAAGGACCGGCCGACCTCGTACAGTTAGGACACCCGCGATCATCAAAGCAGGAAGGCGCGAATCCAACGAAATCCTGTTCATAAACAAAAAAATCTTAGCTCTTCAGATGGGCTTAAGCAGAACCACAGTAAAAAGAGTGATCAATGATGACCTGGGACTACGAGCTTATCGTAAGAAGACCGGACATTTTTTGAACGAGCGTTTGAAAAATAATTGGGCTGCATAGATTCCGCGCTCTGTTACTGCGGTGCGCGAGAACAAAATACCGCGAAATTTTGTTTTCGGAGGAAAAAAATTTTAACATCGAGGAAAGTGAAAATTTAAATAAAGAAAATGATAAGGTCTTCGATCAATAATATACATTTGATCGAATAAGGTGTATGCCCACAGCAGTAAAGAAGCCAGCACGCGTATTCCGAGGGTACAACGAGCATATTATCCTTCGTCACTCGTGATTTGGTTTGGAGTCTCATATTCAGGCTTAACTGAGGTTTTTTTCTGTGAAAAAGGTGTAAAAACTAGTGCCGAGGTGTACCAATATACCGTCCTGCACCTGTTCATAGGGCACGAAGCATGCAAAACTGGTTGACGCCCACTGGATTATAAGATATTACAACGTTTGGAGGAGAAAGTCCGCGCTAAACCTCATCAGTATTTGGAGTCTCTCCGAGCATCTTTGGCTATAGTTGCGGCAGAATATGAGTGTGCTGCGATTGATGGTTGGACGCGTTGATTATGGGCATGTATTCAAAATAAGAGAGGGCATTTCGAATAATATAAATAAAATTGTTTTCTAAATTAAATTACCTTTCATTTCATATATAATTTCTAATCAAAAAGTGTATCATTAATTTTATAAAAAGTTTTTGACAACTTGTGACCTGACTAAGTATTTTTATTAAAATTATCGTGTGAGGTGGTCAGTTAAGAACTCTATAAAACACCATTTCAAAAAGCTTCTAGTTAATAAAAATCATCACTCATCTTTTCTATAAAAGTATCGCTAAGAAAAAGCTAAAATCAATCATGAATAACTAGAAATCCAAGTGAATGTGAAAAATATACTAAGGTTCAAAAATTATTGTTTTTACACCCTGACTTTTGAACATTATTTTTCTATTCTGGTAACTTAAAGTATATAAATCGTTGAAACTTCGAATGTGACAAAAATAATTTCTATTTTTGAAACCGGAAATATATTCCGGAATATTTATTTTGTATGTGCAGCTTGCATTTCGTTGATGTTTTTGTTTTACTTTTAGAAGATTTTGTAAGATGTAAATTTATCGGTAAAATATTTTAATGTTCATTTTACTTCTCTCTTTACTTTTGTAATGTCTATTATACTTAATTGATTTTTTTCATTGAAACTTATTATATTTTACTTTGTTTTAATTTTGTAGGGTGCTCGGTCCGACTGCGGTGCTCCAGCTGGCGGATCGCGACGAGCCCCCACCTGCCAACGCCCGACCTCTTTATTCGCTGGCTATGCGCGGCGCTGTTATATGTTTTTCGGGGTTTCGAAAAAAAGATGAGCTGGTAAGTGTTATGTAATCGTTGATTCTTGAATTATTCTTACGGTCTCGTCTTTCAGCTTTTATGTTATATTCACACCCTTACTTTGAACGCCAAGGAATCTTTGTGTTCTGACTTTGATGGTAAGAGACAAAGAGTTCTCTTATAATTTAATAAAATTCTCTTCATCGTTACTCTTATTTCGTCTCGTAGGTGTCATAGGTATAAGAGACGAATATGGTAAACTCCAAACAGATAACTTCCGAAAGATTATATATAAAATATCCCTTTTGCGCCAGATGCAAATTATTAGACTGGGATGGATAAAAGTACGTAGCATCTGGTACTGCAATCGAAAATTCGCATTCAAAACTTGACTATTAAGGCAAACCTTCCCGACGGAAAGTGCCAGGTATATAACCAGCTGTGGATTTTTGCTGAATGATAATAAGCAAGAAGATTTGAGAAGCATTTTATGCAAGATTGTAGCTAGTGGCTATATCAGGCAAAGCATTTTTACCACTATTGTTCTGAGGCCCGGATTACATTTTGAGCAGTGACAAGTGCGAATGACAATTGCAACTGACAAATGACAAGTGCTTAGTGCGAATTTTATTCACACTTACCACTTGTCACTGCCTGTACACACGCACTAAAAGCATTTGTCATTTGTAATTGTCATTCGCACTTGTCACTTCTCAAAATGTAAACCGGGCCTTAGTTTATACTACTTACTATAGGAAGTGTGAATTTACACCGTGTTTGTAAATAATAATGAATGGGTTCTATTCCTTCTTCCGTACCGTGTGTTTGTAGTGTTAACATTATTGACGATTGTTTTTCTCGAAGCGTGTTTTTGTTTTAGCTTAATACAAAGAGGTAATTGTGCTTTTCTTTTTTTTAGAACAATGATATGGCGTTTGAAAAAACTATTGCAAAAGAGGTCACAAAATTCGCATTAATACGAACTGTGATCACGATACAAACACTTATATTTCTTCCTCTTTTTCAATAAACAATTTCCTAACATTTTTACACCCGGTTTCGTTTGCTCAGTGGCTAAGCGTTCCTCACCGGCACCGATGAAATTGTTAGTGCTGATTTATCACATACTCGGCGGTGATGGAAGATGTTATAGGTATGGCAACCTGCATGTTACCTGCTTTGAAGTACCACAGTCAGCATTTCCGTGCCTTATAAAATCTTTCAGGAGTGACTCGTGTTCGTGTATCCCAGGAGTGGGAGTATACACAGGCTATAACTAAAACCTAGTTTCATTATCAAATGTTATATTTCAACAACAATGTAAGGTTTTGTTTACATTTTATGCATAAAAATTTAGACTATAAAGAGACTGAAAAGAAATTCATTTTGGTGACTGAGTATTGCATTAATGCCACGTTGATAAATGCCTGTAACGCTAATAAAACATGTAACAATAAATCTGGATTAACAAGTGATTTACACGGTATTTGCACATGCGCTCTACAAGATACACTAATGTGTGTCAACCGCCCTGCAGACGTACCTGATAACGCTGATCCACTACATGGGAGGGTCGATACGTAAGGACATGTCAAGTAAGGTGACGCACCTAATCGCGGCGGCGGCCACCGGCGACAAGTACCGGTACGCGACGGGTTTTGGGCTGCCAGTGCTGGCCCGCTCCTGGGTCGACGCCTGTTGGGAGAGACGAGACGATCCCGCCTGTTTTGCCACCGACGAACTTATAATTGTAAGCAGAGATATTTTAGTTAAAACTTGTAATTTATTTTAATAATTCACTTATTTAAAGTTTTAAAATATTTGGAGTTGGGCCGATTAGTACTTTGGCCGCTTGGTCGATTAGCCGATTAATCGGTTAAGAAATGGCCGATTAATCGGCCCAGCTGATCCCTGTTTCGGCGGCGTTCGGAAAATGTCGGTATCATTCGTAAGACGTTTTTTAAAAGTTTATTATAAATAATATTATTAATATTTTATTTTGTTGGGTTAGTACTCTGCATTACGATTAGAAAAAGCTAAAAAGTAGAATTAAAATAGTAAGTACTTAGGATTTTGTTTAGTTTTAAATTTAAATTTACTAGGTACCTCAGATTCTTTTTTTTTTACCAAAGTTCCTATGTCCAGAATAATTAACATTAAAACATGTGAGACTAATTTTTCAATAAAAGTTATGTATGAACCTACTTTTTAGATTTTAGATTTATTAGATTTACCTACACATATATCTGACGTGATTTTACGCATGGAAGAGAAACTATTCTTTTCTTAAATTAAAAGCTTTACTCATATCTATGTAGCGGCACTTACCACGCAGAAAATCACGAAAAACCTTTGCTGAAATTAATAAAATAAAAAAAACGATTAATCGGCGGTTTTAGCCGATCGTAATCGCCGACTAATCGGTGACTACAAATGGGCCGATTAATCGGCTTCACCGATTAGTCGGCGGCTAATCGGTCCAACTCTAAAAAATATTCGTACTCGCAGTCGATGTATTGAAAAAAAATGCAAATAAATAATGATTCACCCAATGAAAATATCTCATAAATTAATATCGCTGTTATAATAATGTAGTGAAGTTGAGGTGTTAATCTCAATGGAAAAATGTAGGTCATGATTTCTTTATATCACTCTTATCTTGATATTGATGCAGTATTGGGTTGGGTATAACTATTGTATCGGTAGGAGTTAAATTTATTATGTATCTTACGCGTCTAAAGCAAAAGTTTGTTACGTCGTAACGTAACACTTGTTACGACTTTGTTTATTTTACTACTTGTTGACCTTGAAACTACTGAATAACTTTCCCTCTCTCTCTTTCTCTCCTTAATACCATAGATACTCTACAAAATATTTGAAAATTTTCACTCCGCTTAGGTGCTTCTGAGCTTTCTCAAGTAAGTTTTGCAGTATAAGAATTATTTATTTATTTATTGTTTTTTGTATAATAATTATAGAAGGAACACAAACTGAAGGTGTTCGCCGGAGCGCGGGTGTGTTTCGTTGGCTTCCCTGAGGATGAAACGCAGCACATGGCGGAGGTGCTGGCGAGCAACGGCGGCGCCTCGTGCGCGCTCGACGATGTTGACTGCACGCATGTCGTGAGTACACGTACACGAACATTTACCGACAAAATTATTCATACATACGCAACACCACGATCACTTATCGCGTCTGTGCATGTACCTACAAACACATTCCAACCAACACGCCCATTAAACACACACACACACACACACACACACACACACACACACACACACACACACACACACACACACACACACACACACACACACACACACACACACACACACACACACACACACACACACACACACACACACACACTTACGGCAAAGCTCTTAAATTATGCCGCGACCGTACAACTCAATATACTACGCAAAATAATCAAAGCTCATTTAAACTTCACGTTGTAATACAATATATTAAACATAATTAAAATGTAGATATAGATTTAGCGAAATACGAACGAAAAACGAACGAGATACGAAATACGAAACGAAATATATATATATATATATATATATATATTATATTCGTCAACAAATGAACCACGCAACTAAGTATATTAATCTTTAATGTGAGCGTAAAGATGAAGAATAAATCGACTGCTATCTGGGTGAATGCAGTCGATTTCTTTTTCGTTGCTTACGTCGAATCATTATCACAGAGCGTTTTCCTAAATATAGGTTTATTTTTGATCTTTATGGCACATTAGTTGCTAATTTTAGCGCAATGAAATCAGCATGCACATAGTAGTACCCTTGGGAACAGAACTTTTAGTGTAGTTACTTTGTAGATATTTCAAATTAGGTTGTAGTGTGTTACTTCCGTCATATTCTTATTTTAGTTGTATCTAGTTAACACCTCTGCCAGTGATTGCTTAATATTTAGCGACGTCTTCAATGTGGTATACTGTTTAGACAGTATTGAGCGAATTTTTACGATGGTATTCCTCACTTGAGTTTGTTGGTTTATAACCCGTTGAATGTATATACCTAGTGCGTGTGTTTGTTTATAAAATATTTAAATAACTCTTCTGGTTTTTTTAAAATACACATACAACACAAAATCGCTGGCGCAGTTGTTTTTTTTTTTTAATTTAGTTATTATTATTATTATATTTTTATGTAGTCGTTCATTTCACATTTCGAAGTTAAATATATTTGAGTTATATCCATCCCTTATACAATGGGCCTTCCTCACGCGGACATGCCGGCACTTCCCAAGCTCTGTAATTCGTCACGACCTATTCCGTACGGCGCGAAGTCGACCCATTGTCTATCTCACCACTTTTGTTTCATTTCATTTAAATCAGCACCCTAATTACTGCTATATATCTATTATCATTTGATATTTCATTGTGTTCATTTCGCGGTATCTGTTTATAATATGTTTGTGCATTTCGCTTTTGTGTATACTGACTCATAATATAGATCACTTGTTGTTTACACATTTCATAGTTTAATCACGTTCGTTTATCCTAGCGTATTTTGCACAAATTTTAAATCATTTGCTTTTCTTTTTGTATCACTTTGTTTAACGGTGTAGGATATCTTTTCTTTACAATTAGACAGTCTTCTGTGATTACATCCATGACGCTAAAATACAAGCAACAAAAAGTATTATGTACACTATTTTAGCGTTTGTTACGTAGCAAGCTTTTATGTATTTAACTATATCTTTCACGATAGTAATAATATCGTTCTGCATGTTTGTACTGGAATGGCTTCATTACATCATTGCGTGGTGTGTTTCACACATGTTTCAGGTAATGGCCAATGGGGAGACTTTCGGTCGTTCGCTTGTACTGTCACCTCCTTCGAATACTCCCGACACATCCATGAAACCCTCCCGAACCACCCCGAACCGATCCCAAAACACACCCAAGAGTTCTTTGTACCGTAGATTGTCGGCGCGGCTTTCAGGACGCCTCAGCAGTCCGAACAAATACAACGTTGATACCAATGAAAATAATTGTTCTCAAGATGACAGAGAACAGCGCTTACAACGCGCTATAAACAGTATTAAACACAACCAAAGTAAAGATGAACTAGATAATTCCAGAGTTAGTTATGTAGGAAAATCATTTATTGATGATTTATGTTCGAGTGCCGATAGAAACCAAAGTATTAGTCAAATGCAAAGCGTTGAACTACGTCAGTATAAAATATCTGACAAAGAAAACAAATATGCATCCCAAGCTCTACTAGAAAGTAGAATAAGTAGCAAAAATAAGAGAGAAGTGTTTAGAAATAAGTCTATGAACGTATTTAACTTAGTAGAATGTTTAACAGAAGCTGGATCTCTTCACTCGTCTCTAACTAAAAGCTTATGCGATTTAGATTGTAAGGACGAAACAACTGGTTGTCTGTTGCCTACATCTGCAGTTGGTAAGGAGTTTCAACATTCCACAACCACGATATCCTCTGGTAAAAAAAGGAGTCGAAATTCAACTGATTCAAATTTTCAAGTAAGCATAGTAGATGCAAATATTTCTCCTGACAAATGCGACGAAAGTAATTGGAAATCTATCAAAAGGTTAAAAATTAAGGATTCATTTAAATTTAAAAATAGACCTACGATTTTTAAAAAGACGAAAAAAGAATCTGCATCCAAGGCTGTAGGAGATATAACCGTTGAGCAAGTTAGCCCTGAGAGTGTTAAACCCACTGATCCAGCAGGAGAGTTCTTGGCTTCAACGTCTTCTCCGATCAGAGAGGACGACAACGCCTCAATTTGTTCACTAAATATCAGTAAACAATCGGGATTTTTCGACATTTCTTTCGCATCTATACGTAGCTCTAAAACGGCAAAATCTGCATCAAAATTAAGAAGAAGCGTCAAATCATTTACTGCTTCCTTCAGAAGCGAAAGGAAGAAGAAATATGAGAAACGTACGGACCGCAACACGATCGAAGTCAATCCGTGCCACTTGTCGGATTTAAAAAATGTTTCAACGCCTAAGAGAGAACTCGACGCAATGCATCTAGACATATCACCAGTTCAAGTAGACACAATCGATAGCACAGATATGAGAACTCCGCACAAAGCCGAACAAGCCGAGACCGACGAATTAGACGATTCAGCGATTTTTAAAACACCACAAAGGGTGTGGCTGCGAACACATCGACATTCAATTTGCGGCGGCGTGGATTTGAAAACGAGCGTGTCGTACGTCCCTTCCCCGTCCCGCGGCCCATCCCTCGCCCCCCTCCCTCGCCCCGTCCCGCGCCCCGTCCCCCGTCCCCAGGCCCGGCCCCCGGCCCGCGCGCGCCCAGCCGCCGCCCGCTTCGACGCATCCCACCCGCGACGCCCGCGCCATATCGCAATGCCATGGACTATCGCTACCGGTACTAACACCATTTAATTCAGTAATACTAAATCTTAGACTTAACTTGCCATGCCATAGACAAATGCTGTAATCGATGAGACAAAAGTAATGAGCGCCCAGTTACTGGCAAATCTGTCGATCTTGCTATTTTGCATGCTTAATTCAGCATATTGAAATTGTTTAGGTGCTTATAAATGTGCACAGAGGAATGGGACAATACGGAGACGACATTCATTTCTTCTATTTCCTTACTTTTATTAATGAGTAGGTTCAAAATTATATCATTTCGAAGTATAGTAAATAATTTGTTATGTACATTTTATTTGTGTTCTCAGGTGGTAGATGTACACAACACAGGAGTAGCCCCCGAGTGTTCGGTGAAAGTGCACATAGTCAAAGCCGAATGGTTCTGGGCTTCTGTACAGAATGAAGAGGCTCAGGATGAACGGGAATTCCTATTTAAAGATGTAAGTATTTTTGATTTCTCATATTTTCGCTATTATAATCATTTGTACAACAAATAAGCCAACTTGTCCTGCAGAAATTGCGATTAAAATAAAAAATAAAAAAATATCTAACAATGTTTTATAAAATTTATAAAGGTGATTTTAAAAAGATAAAACCAAAAGTTTAAATTTTGGCTAACTCATTTTCTTGCCTTTATGTAAGTCTGATCTAAATGCAAAAAAAATCAGTCTGTATATTGGTGGCCTTCACGCTTTGTTGCAAAAAAAAACTAAACTAATATATGAGTTTAAACTAGTTAGCAATTATCACGAATTTATTGTTACAATTATTCTTACTTTATTGTTAGTAATTTTGCTTATTGTTGATTTTTTCTGTGGTATATGAGTAGAAAAGTTCCTCTTATAATTGAAAAGTGGAAAAAAGGATTAAGTGACTAAAATACAGCTTCTTATTCATATTTAAATAGAAAATTTCTATATCATTAATATATAACAAAAGTGAACCTTTTTATTGTAAATGTTGTAAATTTTTAGGCGATCATCTTTTACGAATCTTTTTACATAGGTTCTGAACACAAAAGCCTTACCTTTCAAAAGGTATTAATTAACGGTTTAAAAATAAACGTTTGAAAAACGAAATTGTAATTTCTTACATCAAAAAATAAAAGATTTCACTTTATTTTATTTCATTATAAATTCTGTATTAAATTAATTAATTATAAAATATAACAGCCAAGGTTTTCCTTTGTCATTAATGAACTTGTGAATAGAAGAAAAAGATCGTGAGGACATGTGTAGCTTGAAACTCTTTCTTCCATCCTGTAGAAATAGAAGGATGCTTGTGATAGGCTGTTAACTGTGCTTACTCTAAAATGTAAAATTTGCGGCAGTATCTAGACGAAGTGTCGCGGCGGTCGTCTGTGGGCGGCGCGTGCGCGGCGTCGACGGAGGATGGGGGCGGTGGCAGCAGCGGGGGAGGTGGCGCGGGGTCGGGCGGCGGCACGCCGTCGCAGCTGCAGCGCCTGCGCAAGCGCAAGCTGCGCGGCGGCGACTCGGCGCTGAACAAGCGCCGCTCCTCGCTCAGCGACGCCGTGCTGCTCAGCCTGTCCGGCAACCTGCTCGACTGCACGCCCTCGCCCGACGGCAAGCAGCTGCTCGAAGGTGGGCAAACGAACATTTGAAACAGAAACTTTTTTATTCAATGTAGATTATAAACAATACTTATTGAAAGTCAATTTTTTCATTTACTACTGGTTCGCAAAAAAACCTCTGTCCTGGGAAGAACCAGCAATAAACCCAGCGGGACTATTTTTTTGAATGTACTACAGCAATGCTGCAGCTATATTGTGGTTGTAACATGAATGGCTCGACTCGACTGGGGAAGGACCACGCTCTCACAATATCAATGTGGAATAGCAGCTCAATGCAGCTGCGTTTCGTGTGGTAAGTTCAATCCAGAGACCCTTTTAACTGGAAATGAGACATCTGCATTTTGATTCTTAGTTCAAGATGTCTATGGGCCACAGCCTCCACTTACGATAAGATGGACTGTGTGCTCGATTTTACCATTTTTCTGTAAGATAATTAGACAGCTTTTTTATTTATGAAGTAAAAAACGCTATGCATAAAAGTCAAAACACTGAAAATAGTCCCATACGTAAATTCTATGCAGAAATGGTATCTGTAAACCGTACCAAACTCTTGTGCTCTAGTCAATGACCTGCAGCCGCAGCGTTATCGAACTACCAACAACCATCCGCCGTTATACCCTACACTATTATAGCTTATTTTCTTTACAATTAGTTTGGTGATACTGCATTCCATTGACCCTATCTATAATGGCCTGAACTTCTAGCCTCTTCAAGCCATTGCTGCATATACAAGTCTTCAATAATGCACCAAATGACACGCTGCTCTTGATAAATTTGCTGCTATCTTGATAGATTTTTCAATACCAGCCACGCGAAATAAATGGATTGATATAGTAATTATGCTGCCTGACGTCAATCTGAGAGATTTAGGTCCTGCATTTTCCAGTAGACGTACCACCATCCACCGGTTTCAAGAATCACATTTCTTAATTAGAAGGGTACACTACATCCAAGTGCGGCTGACATTTGAAGTATTTGGTATATTTCTCATATTCGGTCACGTCTACCGGTTTTCCAGACCGAAAATTACATTCTATTATTTTGACACATGTTTACATTACAAATGCCAAGGATTAAAAGGTATAAAGACATTTTTTTACTAATTATCGTTAACAAATTATCATCGTTAACAAATTTTGTTCAATTTGTCTTTCATGCAGAATCGGAAGTACCTGATAATGTGGTGCGGAAACTTATGTCACCAAGGCAACAAGTTTTCATGGAGTTACTACAAACAGAGTCAAATTATGTAGGGATATTGCATACAATAGTCACTGTAAGTACAACATTCTTTGAATCATCAAGTATTTTCATTTAAAGTAATTAGAATTGATAATATATTTTAAGTTATATGATAAAAGAGACAGTTCAAAATTGTATGAAGCGTAGGCCAAGTTTGGTACTAGTAGGGAAATAAATAAATAAAAATATTAAAGCACTTTTAATCATTCAAATTCACGAATTTGCTTTTATTTCAGCGGTATTAATATTTGCAGCTTTTGGTGAAAATAAATTTCACGAAAAGCTGCAACACTAATGGCTGATAGATGTTGTTTTGACGTTAGTGCCAGCGCCACACTTGACGGATCTTTCCCAACGGAACGTCAATACATGTTATTTGTTATTGCATATAAATTACAAATAGCGGGTACACTACGCGGAAGATCGTTCCGTCGCGGACGATCGGTCGCTCCGTGGCGGACCGCTCGCTCTCGCGTCTGCTCCGTCCTCCGCGCACCGATCTTCCGTCGGCGTAAGATCGGCAACATCGCATTCCAGGTATTTGTATGCATCGCGCAACATTCGGCGGATAACTCGCGGTGACGGCGCACGCACACGATGTTCGACACTGAACGATTTATTATCCAAGTGCAAAATAGGGTTTGCCCTAGGGACTTTAGAGAAAAGCCAGATAGAACGCCAAAATGAAAATTCTTCTGATGAATTATCAAGTAATGCAAACTCACAACTAACTGTAATTGAGAATTTGAGTCCACCTCAAACTGATGAAGTTCCAGGAACCTCTCAACCTAAAAAGAAAACCTAAAATGACAGTCTAACGGAGTTTAATTACAGCAATGAATAAAAAGCAACAATCACTTAAGAAGTTGGTTTTTTTTTTTATAAGAGCCTATGGTGATGGTTGATTTATAAAATCAAATATCATAATCAAACGTATTCTTACAACCATCCTTTCTATAGTACATACGAACAATCACCTGCAACATATATATCAGATGGGTCACCGCCGGTGTACCAACCATATACTACGAATACAAACAGTTCCTATTCGACCATACAGTCACCCGAATCTATTGAAACTCAAGTTCATCCAATTCAATCAGCTGAAATTAAAACATCACACTCAATTGAGGAAATAGAGGAAATATTTCAGAATAGGTCCAGCAATTCAATTCAATTAAAATTAAAGATTCGATTAATCATAATAAATAATTTGTCTCATTTACACTATTAATATTTATCTTACTTTAATGTAACGGTCAGCCTTTTTTTAGGAGATATAGCCGTTCTAAGTTTTGTATTTTGCTTGGTAATGTAGTCCTTCGTTAAATTCAACAATACATCAAATGATTGTATGGACTTCCGATAATATTCGAATGCTTTATCTGGATTATGTCTAACAAATTATGAAATTGCCCAATTTCTAGTCGAAGAGTATTTAAGGGATGAACCCAATATTTACGCTTTCTTTTTCTTTTTAATGCCTCATAAATAGCTATCACTTCTATCGGATCCATTACGACCACACCGTATAAGCGTTGGCAGTCAACTGATAATCTGCCACTGAATATTCAGTGTAGCTGCAACGTATGGTAACGGATTTACTCCCGCGGAAGTTCGGCGTCGGAATTTCCGTCAAGTGTGGCGCTGGCCTAATTGTCAACAGTCATGAGGTTATTTATGGCTATTTGAATACTGAAATGTTGTGTTATCCTTATCACTAAACCAATCGCCAAGGAAATCCACAAGAAACAAACGCATTCACGAGTTCACAACAATATAACCAAGTTCGGAATGAACAAAAATATCACGTTACCAACATTATTTATTTTCATGGCTCAAGTCTCTTGTCAGAAATGACAGTAATCTTGTCTTTTTTATGACTGGAAGGGTGCCATTTTGTAAAATCAACTGAAACTTGGGATTGCATTTTTATTTTTAGCAAGTTATTTAGTTTGATTACTTCTCTTATTATCTTTTTAATGAAATCCCTGAATTTTTCGCTTTTTTATCGTAAAGTGTTACATAGACTTGGCCTGAAATGGACTGTCTTCTTTAATATGACTGATTTAAACAAGTCGTTATAAATAATTTTTATATTTGATGTTGAATTGCTAGTTTATAGCTAATCCGTTAACAATAATATTCTCTTTATTATAATATATAATAAAGATATATATTATAAATATAACCTTTTCTTCACAGATGTTTAAACAACCTTTAGAAGAGATGGCCGAGGAGGACAGCAATAACGGAAAAAATCAAGCTTTGCTCAATAATACGGAACTAAAGATTATTTTCGGAAACTTACCGCCTATTTATGAGTTACACCAGTGAGTTTTTACCGAAATTAGTATATCTATATACAATATTGTGACGATAATTATAGTGTTCTAATAAGCATAAGCATATTTAATTTAATTATTTTAGTTCATCATGAAGACATTATGTTTATTATTTTTGTACTTATACATATATTATTTTTAAGTGGTAATATATTACTTAATAGTTGGTCAACTAACAAATAAATATTGCAAAATGCGTTTTGAAGGCTTATGAAAATAAATATGTCAAGAATAAGTGAACCACCAATTGGTATTGCAAAATAATAGATTGTTTTGGTTTTAGGCGAATGCTTGAAGAGTTACATTATGCCCAATCGCATTGGAGCGAGGAGGTGAGCATCGGCAGGCTGGTGCTCAGGTATACGCCAGACATGGTGAAGGCGTACCCTCCCTTCGTCAACTTCTTCGAGAACACCAAGGAGATGCTGCAGCAGTGCGATCGTGAGAACCCTAGGTAATGATTTATTATATTTACGCGATCGTTAAAGTTAAAGTTACAGCCTATATACGTCCCACAGCTGGGCACAGGCCTCCCCTCATTTCTGAGAGGGTTTTAGGGCAAAGAAGTGTCCGCCGCGCTGCCCCAATGCGTGTTGGCGAACTTCACATCTCTTCCAAATATTTATGTTTCTTATTTCTCAGACATGCAGGTTTCCTCACGATGTTTTCCTTCACCGCTGAACACGTGGTAAATCAGCACTTAAAATTGCAATTAACAATTTCATTGGTGCCGGCGGGAATCGAACCCGGTTTGCTAGCGTACTGTGAAATTTACAGCGAGCGCTAACACTACTATTTACAAATAACTATGTATTAAAATCCGTCTGTCAACACAGCGAATCGGTTTTTTAGTAGTGATTAACTGATAATACGACGTAATTGCTTGTATGTGTGCTCCCGGCGACGCCGAACCTCGGTACGTAAATAAGGTTGACAGCCATTCTATTGTGTATTATGGTATTCTATGGCAGCACTCATCCATCCTCTCTATTGTAATTAGGATATTTTTTAACTTCAATAGCCTCGCCAATCATCCTTGGTAGGAGTCAGTGTTCTTTTGCTAGGATTTGTGATCTATCAAATCTGATCTAATGGCGGGGAAAATCTTGAACATGTTCACAGACAGCACTCTGAAGGTGGCCGGGCTAACTATGACATTGAGACGTCAAACATCTCAGTCCCCCTGTGACCAAACTGTGTAAACGGCGGGAATTTAAAAGTTAAAATTAAACGCGATTAAATCCGTAAATTTAATTCCATTTAAAACAACGTAACATCGGAACTTTGAAGTGTTTGTTACATATACACAGGTTAATAATGATATTATTGGTATCATTATACAAACGATATAGGAAGTAAAATTCATTTAAATATTTATGATTCACACACTCAATATTTAAAAAAAAATGTATTTTTAGATTTCATGCATTCCTGAAAATATGCCAGACAAGACCAGAGTGCGGTAGACAGAGTTTACAAGAACTATTAATAAGGCCAGTGCAGCGGTTACCCAGTATAAGCTTGTTACTTGATGGTGAGTCATTATAAATTTATCTAATATGTAAGTACACTGACATTTTATATTACTATCTGCTATTAATAACAAAAAGTTTCCCTTTCGCTCTGAAATGTGAGTTCTTAAAAGAGCACAGCGTTCTATTTTTATTGCTAGGTTATTCAATGTAGCGTTTTACGAAACCATAAAGGAGATGGCCAAAAATTGTATGAACCTGTGCCCCAGACTGTACAGAGATGAAATCAATGTCATTTGAAAGTAAAGATCTTCTATAATATAAATATTAGAAAAGTGCATGTAGCTACGCTGTAGTGGACAAAAGTTATGAAGATTTAAAAAAAGTTGATTTTGGCAGTCGGTTTTTATCATAATTACACAATGTAAATATTAATAAGGTTCCAATTCATGTGTGTTATGTAGGTTAATGTATATGCATGACGAAAGGGATATATCCTAACTGCTTTAGATAAAAAAAAACAAGGACAGCAGTTTTTTTCAGTCTTTGAAATTATTATTTTTAACTATTTTTTGTAACATAATTATTTTAATACTATTATTGATCGAAGTATATTAGACAGAAACATTTAGCCAATCTTGTCAGTGACTCCTCTGACATACGGCAGTACAGAAGGTACACGCTCGACTGTGGCCGGCTTCACTCGGTCACTGTGACGACGTAGGCGAGGGACCCGAAGCTTGTTGTCATGCAACACATGCTTGACATGGTGGAGCTCGGCAGCCAGGTGTTTACTGTCACAGATACCTCGTGCTTTCTGGAACAAAGACTTACCCACGGTAGCTAACTGTGAAGGATGGTGGTGAGAATCACCGCTTAAATATCTATCTGTATGGGTCTTTTATCTGTACACAGTGTGACTCAAGATGTTATCAGGATTCCGATTTACTAGCACATCTAGAAAAGCTAAAGAATTGTTTGCCTCTAACTCCATTGTGAACTGAACTTTAGAATTTATTGAGTTAAGATGGTCTAAAAATGCAGTTACTTTATCTAAAGGTGGAATTATGAAAGTGTCGTCTACGTACTGCTTATAGAATCTTGGATTTATGGGAAAAGTAAGCAAGGCTTTCTCTCGCTTTCAGTCGCATTATTTTGCATTGAATCATTTAACGTTATTAGTACATTATCAAGAAATACAGCTGGTGGAATAATACTTTCTTGGTATCTCGGCCATCCCAAGTATCACACAATAGTCATTATATGTGCACGACATCCAACAGTCCGATTTCCAGCCACACAATTACACCAATGATATCGCTCAGACTGACGTCCAGGATATCATCGGTGTAATCGGCTGGGCAGCGTTCGGGAAATTACGAAACATCTTCTCGTCAGGTATACCTCAATCTCTGAAAACTAAAGTGTACAACCAGTGCGTGTTGCCAGTGATAACTTACGGATCTGAGACGTGGTCCTTCACTGCTGGCCGTATGAGGACGCTCAAGGTCGCTCAGCGAGCTATGGAGAGGGCTATGCTCGGAGTTTCTCTGCGTGATAGACTCAGAAATGAGGATATCCGCAGTAAAACCAGAGTGACCGACATAGCCCAACGGATTAGTAAGCTGAAGTGGCAATGGGCCGGCCATATAGCTCGAAGAACCGATAACCGATGGGGAAGAAAGGTTCTCGAGTGACAGCCTCGTACTGGTAGGCGTAGTGTTCGGCGACCCCCCCCCCCCCACTAGATGGAGTGACAACCTGGTAAGAGATGCAGGAAGTCGATGGATGCGTTGTGGCGTTACTTGGGGGAGGCCTACGTTCAGCAGTGGACTTGTGAAGGGCTGTAATGATGATGATGATGAATTACACCAATAACCTAAGATTGCATCTCAGTTGGTTTTGATTTGAAGGTTGCTCATCATATAGAATATAAGTATAATACTCACGCTTAGAAGAATGTCTCGATTTAATACGACCTCTTAATACGACAGGGTGATTACCTCCTATGTGCGTTACAAGTTCCTCAGAAAACTCTAACTCTGGACTTATTTCAACTTCATAAACACCTCGCTCTCTGATGTGTTCACCGTAATATGAGCGAGCCTTTTGCACTTGGTAAGGTCCTAAAGAAATTTATTTCAAATCACATATCTAAATGTGGAAAAGTATTAAGTTCTGGCAGGTTTGCATCAATACTTCTAAATAACACTCTTCGTCTATTTAAATTAAACTCCTGTATAAACTGACCTAAATAATTAGGCAAGTTCAACCTTGTCGTTGCTATTTAAGCAATTTCATCTGCATTTTCGAAATTTTCTATCACTTTGTGAAACTTATTTATAAGTGCAGCAGCAACCCATGTGCAGAAGCTAAGTTGAAAAATATGTTATAACCGATGGGGAAGAAAGGTTCTCGAGTGGCAGCCTCGTACCGATAGGCGTAGTGTAGGGCGACCCCCCACTAGATGGAGTGAAGACCTAGTAAGACATGCAGGAAGTCGATGGATGCAGGTGGCTCAGAACCGTGCTTTGTGGCGTTACTTGGGGAGGCCTATGTTGAGCAGTGGACTTGTGAAGGGCTGTAATGATGATGATGATGAAACAGTTTAAAATCACGCTTAAACCTGTCTTTAACTACTTCCACAACCTCTCTACAAAGTGTAACACATCTACTTTTATTAGCTTGTAGAGTCGATAACTGTGTTTGTCCTTCGTCTCTGGTTCCAGGTTTATGAACAGTGAAACCAAGAGCTTCCAAATTAGAAATAAAATCTCTAAAGCCTCGTTCTAAAATAAATACATAATTTTGATGAAAGTATTGAAACAAGCCTCCTTCACTAGAAACTAAATAACTCATTATTTCTGCATCTGTTTGAGTTGCAGCAAAAGGTCCAACTATAATATATCCATCGCAACAGACTACTAAAAATGGTTTTGTTAAGTTATGATATTTATGAAGACTGTATGTCTTTATTTGGTATTTATTATTCGAACTCTTTTGCACATGGAGGTAGGTACCATCACATTGTACAATAGCCCACCTGTTAGAGGAATCAGGCTGAGGATTTTTATATAACTTCTCAGGTATAGTGGTGTTTCTTTCTGCCACTTCTTGGTGAGATATGTGGGACGCTCCGAGATGTAGCGGAACCAAGTGATTATTCATACAGTTTCTCACAAGCTTCATTTTGTTCTGTAAAGTGGATTTAGAAATTCTACAAAGACTAGATATTCTAGTATCATATCACCAGTCCTATATTTGATTAAAAGCATTGCTAATGCGGTTTTTGAATTTTTGGGAACAACAGACTGTATTGGTATACTATTATGCAATTCTATGAATTCCTGTGTAGTGCGCCCTGTCTTATAGTGATATACATTACTAGGCATTGATTCCATGTTTTCAAAATCAATAACATTTTCCTCACTTTTATTATCTAACAAGTTTTTAATTTGATTTGCCGTGAAAGTATTAGTTAAACTTGTGTTCTTTAATAATAATTCCTAATTAAATGTTCTTCACATACCCTGGCAATTCGAGACACATAAAGTTTACTATGCAAGAACAATGCTGATTTAATCAAGGTAGGCACTAAATGACCTGCACTATGCGGACAGCCATCAAACATACATCTTCTAGATGTATTAGCACAACGTCTATAATTCGGCAGGACGATTGTTAATACACATACAACAGGGCACTTTTTGGCCATCTCCATTTTGGCTTTACTAAATATAAATTTTAAACTATCAAGTTATTTAATATTCCTTAATTTGAATATGTAAATTTCTATGAATGCATGTTTGTCTGCTCTTGAGTGCCTTGTGGTCTAATGTTTTTTGTAATGTCATATCGTTAGATTTATCTCCATTTTTAAAGAATTATATGGGCTACAATTCATTCTAATGTTACAAATTCGATGATCGATCATATAATAAATTTCGTGCTTGTAATATATTCAAAAGAAAGTGTCATTTAATTCATTAATAATAGTGATCTAAAATTTCGCTGGATAGTTGCTTTACATTTCATAATGCAAGTTAAATGCTTTTGTCTTTTAGTACTTTGTGCTACATTTTAATGTAATTTACTAGTCTAAAATCTAATGTTCTGTTTACTTTACAATCGTTTTCAGTTCTTTAACTAACCTTAAATAAAAGTAATGTATTATCCACAAACAGACCATTCTATATTAATAACATTTTGAATTAGGCAACCAATAAAATGGTCCCAAAATGGCCACCTGTGACTGTGGTACGCCCATTTTATCTTAATTTTTATTAGATTAATTTATTATAGGCATCATATTTACTTATACAACAGCTGTTTTAAAACTACTAAAGCTTTTTAAGGATTAATTTCTCAAACACTACTTAAAATTAACAATACAGATGCAGGACTGAAATTACTCAGGTAATAAGAAATTCCGGATTTAAAAAGTCGGGAATGGAATATTTCCACTGTTCCTGCCATATTAAAATCTTTTTAAATGAAAACTCCTTGGTTTTAAAATCGAATACCATTTATTTATTTAAAAAAAGATTCTCGGTGTTGTCACAAGGTTTTGTCAAACTTGTTTAGTCGTTGAGAAAATGGAATTGGCTCGAGAAAATTCAAGAGACAGAGACCGGATGATTTCTGCATTTGGTGATGAAGCCCCATCCAAAACCACAATTTATCGCTGGTTTGCTTAATTTCAACGTTGACGTGTCAAGCTCAGTGATGATCCCCGTCAAGGTCGTCCAAAAACTGCAGTCACCCAAGAAAACGTTGATGCTGAGCGTAAGCTGATTGAGGAAGATCGACATGTGACATACCGCGATATTCAGGCAACTTTAGACATTGGCATGAGTCAAATACAAATAATCTTGCATGAACAATTAGGTGTAAAAAAGTTGTTTTCCCGATGGATACCGCATTCGCTCTGTGAAGAGCAAAAAGCGGTTCGCGTTACTTAGTGCGTCAGGACTCTCGAAAGATTCCACGCAGGATCCTCAAATGCTGTATACAACATCGTATCAGGTGACGAATCCTGGATATACGCGTACAAACCCGAAACGCACGAGTTTGGGTGTTCGAAAATAAGTTAAAGCCAACAAAAATTGTTCGTTCACGGAGTGTTGCAAGAATAAATTGCGTGGACAGATTTTCATCACCTGAAAAAGCTGTGGACGCCTACAGAACGGCCATTTTGGAAACCCCAACTTCCGAATGGAATGGTTGCTTCAATGATTGGTTCCATCGTATGGAAAAATGTGTCAAATTTCGCGGAGAATACTTCGAAAGCAATAAATACATTTTTAAATAGTAATGTTGTGTCACTTCCTTGATTCCCGAAATTTTCAGTGCCGCCCTCGTATAGGGCAGCAAACTTGCTTTTTTCAATACATGAATCGAAAAATTTAATTATGTTAATTCCATATTTTATCGCTTTCACCAACGATATCCATAAATTTTTAGTCATCTTAGGAATTAGTGATTTTTAATGTTTTAATTATTTCATGGGAATTAACATGCCTAAATTAGTTTTCATTACGACCTTCACTTAGAAATTGATGTGAAAAATATATAAAAGGTGTTATTCATTTTAGATATACTGAAGCACACGCATAAGAACAACCCGGACCACGCGGCACTGGTGTCGGCGCTGGCCGGGCTGCGCGAGGTCATGTCGCATATCAACGAAGACAAGCGCAAGACAGAGGGCCAGCTTCAGATGTTCGACATCTATAACGACATAGACCAGTGTCCGGTCAGTAACACGCCTTCTGTATAAGAATGTGAGAAATGTCAGTGTGATTAAAGAATGGGATCACAATGTTATCAGAATATTACATAATAAAATATAATAATATTTGTAATCAAACTGCACTAAAACTAAATTAACATTGGTACTTTCAAACTAACATTAAAACTACGAGGGGTGATCCAAAAGTAATGATATTGAAAATTTAAAACGGTAATTAAAGTTAAAATAGTAATTTATTTTTCTACATAGTCTCCTAACAAATCAATACATATAGTCCATCTTTTTTCTAAACCCAGGATTCCCTTTGAAAAAAATTCTTTGTCTTGACCCTCCCAAAACGCTTCAACAGCGGCCATTACTTCGCTATCATCTTCGAATTTCTTCCCTCGGAGGCGTTCCTTGAGCCGAGGAACGAGGTAGAAGTCACTAGGAGCTAGATCTGGCGAATAGGGAGGGTGTTCGAGCAGTTCGAATCCCGTTTCTTGAATGGCAGCCATCGCAACTGCGGCTTTGTGAGCCGGTGCGTTGTCTTGGTGAAACAGCACTCCAGCTCGCAGTTTGCCGCGTCTTTTTTCCTTAATGGCCTCCTGTAATCTTCTTATTTGGTCTGCGTAGTAAGAGCCCGTAATAGTGGCTCCCTTTTTCCAAATATTCCACCATAATTAGGCCTTGAGCGTCCCAAAAAACAGATGCCATAACCTTTCCCGCCGAACTTGAAACTTTGAATTTCTTTGGCGTCGGTGAGGAGGCTCGCTTCCAAGTCATCGATTGTTGTTTCGTTTCAGGATCAAAATGGTGTTTCCAGGTCTCGTCCATAGTCACAAAACGGAACAAAAATTTTTCTTGATCTGCTTGGAACTTTTCTAGATTGACCCTCGAAATGTCAACTCGATTTTTCTTTTGCTCGTCAGTTAACATTCTGGGTACCCAACGCGCAGAGACCTTTTTCATATGCAATTCGTTCTCAACGATTCTTTGAACGCTGGCATGTGAGATCCCTGTGACCTCAGCTACATGCCTGATGGTCACTCTTCGATCTGCCAACACAACATCTTCGACTTTTTTCACGTTGTCTTCAGTGAGGGACGTGGATGGGCATACTTCGCGATGTTCATCTTCAGTGGATGTTCTGCCCAGTTTAAACTCCTTGGCCCAGCGTGCAACTGTAGAATATGGAGGAGCAGAGTACCCCAATGTTTCCACTAAGTCACTGTGTATGTCTTTTGAAGACATTTTTTTCAAACAGAGGTACTTGATGACAGCTCTAATTTCGTTTTTCTCCATGTTGATGTTATCTCTTTGACAAACTGTCTGTGTTCAAATGAGTGTATCTCCCGGAAATCGTGATCTATTTATATGATTTTTTTAGTCTGACGTAGTGAGTATATAAGCAAGCAAAAAATATTTTTTTTTTGGATTTTTATGCGGACCTGAAGTAACCGATTATCATTACTTTTTGATCACCCCTCGTATAGTCAACCAAATCTAAGAAACCAAAATTAGCAGGGATGGGAGATATGATAAGGATATAGAACGACGAGTGAATGCGGGAAATAGAGTAAATGGGGCCCTGCACTCTATTGTGAAGAGTCAAAATGTGTCAAAAAAGGCACGTATGGCAATTCACAATGCTGTGTTGGTCCCTACATTAACATATGGTAGTGAAAGTTGGGTGTGGCAGAAGAAGTACGAGAGTAGAATCAACGCAGTAGAAATGCGGTCGTTAAGGAGTATGTTAGGGCTGAATCTGAACGACAGGGTAAGAAATTGTGTAATAAGAGAAGAGTGTGGTTTGCAAGATGATGTTGTGACCAGGATTAAGAAAGGAATGCTTCGGTGGTTTGGTCATGTGGAAAGAATGAATGAGGAAAGAGTGACAAAGAAAATTTATGTTGCAGAAGTGAATGGCAGAGTTGGAAAGGAACGTCCTAGGCGAAAATTTATCGACCAAATTGGCGATTTATTGAAAACCGGCCAAATTAGGAGTTCCTTAACCGACGAGCATGTATGCGTAGGTGTATGGATGTGAAGGAGGCGAGAGAGGTGTGTCAGGATCGTGCCAAATGGAAGTCTGTAGTCTCTACCTACCCCTCTGGGTGACAGGCGTGAGTGTTTATGTATGTATGATATGCGAATAATTGGCAAAAAGATTCAAATAATCGTTAAAATATTCAAATAATCCAATCATTAATCTTTTTAATGTATTTTTTTTTATTTAAATTCCTTAAATTACTTAAATCATGAATAAAACAAGCTTATTTTTTACTTTGTCAACGTAAAGGACAATGGCGAACTCCCAAATAAGTTTTAATAATGTCGTCATCTTACTTAAATCGGCAAAATCTACAGAATGAATTTGACGGGTCTATTTACTTCCCAATATTTTGGTAGATGGTGTCAAATTAAAACGTTACTGAACTGAAATTTAAAACATAAATAAACACGAACCCGTTACTATACCAGATGTCACCTGTCACTTGGTTGGTTGGTGTAATTGGCATAAAAGTACAATTTTAAGTCATTTTTTAATAAATATTGATTTGTTTTAAATGACGTGTGCCTAAAATACTTTTGAAATATATTTTAATAGTTCATATAATAGCTTGAATTCGATTTTTAATACATAGTAATATTGTTTTTGTACTAACTTAATTCAATCCTAATTGAAAAAATAATCAATGCAAAAGTGTTATTATAAAAATTTAAAAGATTATAAAAATTCATTATAGCAAATATTAAATCAAAATGACTACACACCTCAAAAAACAACAATAATTTAACAAATAATCTCAGAAATATTTCATAATGTTTTCATTACTTTCTTATTAAGAAGTAAACGGTAATGCAAAAATCGTAAATTAGCTCTCCTGTAACGGTTTTGAAATGAAGGTGCGTAAATGCAAAATATGTATAAATACATACACTATAAAATCCTGAACATTTTTTTCTTCGGTCATACTACTGCAGGAAGTCAGGAATTAAAGATATTCTAGTTTAAACAAAATACACATCAGACAAGGCTGCATGGTATGAAACGCCTTATTGGCAAATCGTTCCAACAACAACTAGTCAATATAATTTTCATGTATTATGTTTATATAGGGTAGTTACTAGCATAAAGGGAATCCTTAAAGAACGCATTAGTATATAGTATATAGAAGAGTTTTCTGAATAAAATACACGTCAATCTCGGCTGTAAGTTATAAGACTTTTGTCTGTCTTAACTGACAAATGGTAACGACTACTCAAACTAGTCAATTAAGTTTTGAATTGTGTATGATTATTTTTTCTATAGCCCATAAGCTTGATTAGATAGTACATAGTAAATTATTTTATTGATATCTGTAAGGGTGACTTAAATAGACGCTTAAGAGCCCAGTCTTTCAGAGCAAAACAGAAAAATTGCGTTCTGGTGACACATCTACACCCTCCCTGCCCCGCCACTTCATGTACCGCCACCGCAGTTATCTTTCTGGCCGTAGCGTGGAAAGTTGCTCTACTAAGATTTTCCAGTATCAATTTATCTAATATACAGGATTATTTATAATTAGCTAACAAATTTTCACATACAGATTTTCTACCTCGTATCTATTTTTGTTCCATGCTTTTATTACAAAATTCGTTACACAAAAAAAAATATTTTAAGTTTGTATAATTTTTGTTGTTTTGTTGAAAAGGTTTCTAAAAGATAATCATCTAGAACCTGTATAACATGTACTCGTATTATTGATTATTCAAATGAATCTGGCAAGTGCTAGAATGAGTCGTGCACTGAGGGTTTCGTAATAAGTCGATGACACTATCGAAAATCCGTCAAGTACGTCAAGTAGTTCTAAATACTAAAATAGATTAAAAAAAAAACTCAAAATAATTTCTATATAAGTACAAACAGTCCACTATCACACATATTTATAGTTTCTCATTAAAGTATAATGTAACTTTGTATAGCATTTACCTATATGCATGAATTACTATTCTTGTACAGCAGCATCGACGGACGACTTAGCGCTTTTTTTTTAATTTATTCGCAATGGCTTGAATGATGTATGGAGGGTGTTAACTATTTTACTATGAAACACAAAAAAACTTACCTTTGAATTCTATTTCTGTTCATTGCTTCAACGTTTGATTTCAATTTTCGTTTTCTGGTACAAGCATATTTTTTACGTTTATGGTCCATATCGAAATTAAAAGTTATAAAACAAATACAAAATGATTTATAAACCCTTAAAGAATTATATGCAAAAAATAATAAAGTAGAGCAACTTTCAATTCGTAACAATGCGCAACCAAGATTAGGGAAAGAGAGAGAAAGAGGAATGTTAGAGCGAGAGGAAGTGCAAAAATTTGGCACAGACAAGACGTCTGAACGCTACAGCCGCTCAGCGGCTACTAAGGAATATTGCCCGCAATTATTGTTTATAAAGTCAATATTTTATAGGTCGATCGAAATAATTATTAATTTTGAAATAAAGTGGTTTAAATTATTATTTTTTAATATTTGTCTAATTAAACACCTGCCCTTGAGAAAAAAATAATTATAGCATAAATATTTTCAGCTATTGCTATGAAACAAATAGTTTTTTATGAGGCGAAAACAGCGAAATTTAACGAAATTGAGACCTCTTATTTAAGACAATGAAAGATATTTAGAAAAAAAAAAAAAAGCGCATTTTGGAGATGAAGATGTTTAGCTATTAACGCGCTGAATAGATTTCGCCTTTTTATTATCGATTGCCTTATAATGGTACACGAACAAAGCTCGAAATTGCGTTGGGTGCGAGAGAGCTCTATTTACCGTTTGATTTATCTAACATAGACCACATAGATGAACCAAAAAAAAAATTTAGCCATTACTTATAATCTGGGTATTTATGTGTTATCAAAATATTTTACTCTGAAACAATAATTTGCTGTAAAAAAAGAAATCAAAGTGGCGCTAATGATTCGATGTGAGTCAACTTTAAAAGACTGTAGCCTTAATAATTCCATCACTTATTATTTCACCATTGTCCTTTGTGTAGGTCCAAAAAAAGTCATAGACAAGGCCGCGCTGAAAAAACCGCTACGTGAATTCAATCTCCCGCCATTTTGGGAGCTTACTGTGTGTAATTTTGTGATTTTGTGTTTGCCTTCTTATTTTGTGACTCGGCTTTAATTTTTTGGACTGTTTCTTCTATATTCGTTGAAGCATGTGTCCATGTCAAAAACGATGATTGGGCAAAAGTGGTAGAAAAAACAAAAAAAAAATGATTATGGATAACTTTGAGAGACATTAATTTTGACTGCATTATTGAAAATCAAATAATAATTAATCTAAACAATGACAGCTCAAGTAGTTGTACTGAAAGTGATTGAATAAATTTATTTTAAAAAAATCTAAAGTTTTTATAATGTGCCTCTAGAAATAAGCAATTACAACGAATACTAAGGAACTGATTAATCTTGTGTATTAAATTATCCGTTTTTATTTTATTCTGGTATTATTCAAACAAAACTATAAATGATTACCAACTCTAAATTATCGATATCGATTTTTTTAACAATCGAAGTTTAACAATCCCAGTTTTTGGTTGGCATGCTTTGTGCAATAAGTCTGACAGCTGTCAAAATGTATATCTTAAATTTGGTTGACTATGATACACAACAAACCGAATAATAACAATAAGTTATGACTTGTACTGGCCAGAATCAAAATAAAAACAACACGTATAAACAACATTAGAAAGGATTTCCACAGTTTAGAAGAATGTAGACAACAAAAGATAGAATTTAAATAAAAGAGTAGGGTACATTAAGATCCCCAATATTAACAGAAAACTATTTTTTTTTACATTTTACTGTTATCATAATATTAAATAATGAACTATTATAAAATTTGTAATCAAACTGTACTAAAACTAAGCTGACAATGAAAGTATAACTAATATTAAAACTAATATACAATAAACCGAATAATAGCAAATACATTGGTCCAAAGACCATCAAAATAAATTTATAATCATTTTACTGTTTTGAAATATGGTTCACCAAAAATGCGCCTGAAGTGGTCTTCCGAGTAATCTCTCTTGACATAAACTCGGCTATCTTGTCCACACGGATATTCATTTTAATTTTCGGGCCATTTCACGTGCTTTAGCAAATATTTGAGATATACATAAAAATACCTGAAAATGGGCTAAATTAAGAACTCCTCTAACCGACCAGCGTGTATGCGTAGATTTCACCAATAAATATGTATGTGAAAGAAGCAAGGAAAGTGTGTCAGAATCGTGCAAATGAACTAACGTGTTATGTGATTTTTCTTATAAGTACAACGCTTGTTTTTATATTTTTAAACATATTTAATAATTTTAGGCGCACCTCGTCTCGTCACATCGATCGTTTGTGTCCCGTTGTGAAGTGGTCGAATTATCAAAAGAACTCTCAGGAAGGGGAGACCATCTTGTATTATTTCTATTCACCGACACAATGGAAGTTTGCAAAAAAAGATCAAAGGTGAGTTGAGCTGGTTTATGAAATTATTTTCTCGTATAAAATATTTTAGAAAATAAAATTTGTATCTTACATTTCAGGCTTTTAACAGTAAAAGTCCTACTAACGGGATGGGAACGATGCGATTAGGATCTAGTAAACCATACAGGCATATATCGCTAATGCCGCTTAGTACAGTCAAGCGTGTCGTCGATATCAGAGAAGCGGAAGGTAAATTTATGTTTTATTTTATAATACTTAAAATCGGAAGATCTAAATACAATCTAAAATAAAATCTGGTGACACAAGTGCTTCTGCTGATAGATTAGATAGAATGTTTATACGTAACAGAGGTTAGGATAATTAATAATAACAATATATAAAACATGAAATAATCAATTTGCGATCTGTTTAATGTACGCTTGACCAAAGTGCTTAACATCCTTTTGTCGGACGTGAATAAGACACACGCATATGACAATTGGGTCATGTCTGTCCTCGTGTATAAGGTGTGTCATGTGTCAGGTGTGCTCAAACTGAACAATTCCCTGGATAGAAAAGTCCGCACTATCATGACGTCCGATAGGATGCACCATCGAGATCGTTGGTAATGAGGCTCTACTTGTAGCAGAAACATGGTAGGCGTGGCTTTTTAAGCGCTCTCACCATACGTAATCGCGAAGTGTGCAGCCTCTGTAATGACTTCCTGTCGAGATCGTATCTACCGATCAGACCGATTCTATAGGGACGTCATTTCTTGTGATTATAGGGCTTACCCCTCTATCCCTAGCAAGACCTGGTAGTACAGAGTATTTCCGATCGGGAGACCGTATGGAAGGAGAAGGAGTTCCACGGGAGGTTCTGCAAGGCTATTTATTAGCCCCCACTGGCTGCGTTTCGGCGACGCCTCCAAAAACGTCACCGAAACGTAGGTTTAAAGAGTTTATTACCTCAAAAAAAAATTCAATTATATGAGACTTAAAATAACATAATTGGTAAAAATAATACAATTTACATACGGTGACTTATATGAATAAATTTACATAAATATATCCAAATTAGAATTAAAAAGCACTGTCTTTAAATTAATGTTTGACAGTGCTTTTTTAATTCATCTTTAAATTTTGAAAAGATTTTTCATGAAATACCTCGTTCGGCAGGCTATTGTACAATATCATTCCCTCAAACTATATAGTTTTCGAACCAGAGGTTTTAGTCCTAGCTTTGGGCAGTTTATGTTTGTTTCGTGTACAGCGTTTATATGATTTAGTTTTAAAACTAATTTGGGTGTGTATGAAATCTAAGAGAATTTTTCTGACTAGTATGCACGTTTTGTATTTGTATAATTGACTCATGGATAATGTATCAGTTTTTTATAGAGCTCTTTAGTATGAAAGCGGTAGTCAAGTTGGAATAAAACTTTACACAATTTGTTCTGGGATATTTGAAGATCCTTTATATTAGTTTTAGATGCAATTCCCCATATCTCTATTAAATATTCTGGTAATGACTTAGCTAGTGAATAATAAATAATATTTCGAACTTTATAAGGTATACAACGTGTAGATCTACGCAAAGCTCCTGTCAATGACGTTATTTTTGAATGCAGTTTATATAAATGAACTCGCTATGTTAATTTAGAATCTAAAACGAGACTAAGATATATTACTGATTCTGACTTTTTAAGTTCTTGGTTATTTATTGTTTAGGGCTCAAATTTAGAAACGTTTTTGTTTTTCGCAGTAAAAACCATGTAAGAAGTTTTAGTAACATTTATAGTAAGCAAATTGTGCCGAAACCATTCATTCAGTGTATCTAGATCACCTTGTGCATCTGATATAATCTCTTGAATTGAATCTCCAAAATAAAATAAACAAGGTTTCCGATGTCGTTTATGTAGGTTAAAAATAACAGAGGACCAAGGATGGATCCCTGTGGAATACCACAGGTGATATCACATGGATTACTTTTAAAATTTTCGATTTTCAAACGTATCCAGTGGAGGTGACGACAGTCAAAATGGTACAGGCAAAACCCTTTGGTTTACTTGGGCAAACCGAGGGTTTTGCCTGCACCATACAGGATCTGGTTATTAAGACCAAGAACTATCGAAGATACATCCTAAAGGATGGCACCGTCGACATCTGTCAAGCTTGTCGGCATGCCGGTGATTCACTTAGGCATGTCATCTCCGGTTGTTCGGCGTTTTCTAACTCTAAGTATTTGCACAGACACAGCCTAGTGGTCCGAATTCTACACCAAGAGTTCGCTTTGAAGTACGGTCTAGTGGATCGGAAATCGACTTATTACACGTACTTGCCGAAAGCCGTGCTCGAAAATGACCGCACTAGGCTCTGTGGGACCCGGCCATCATCACAGACAGCACTATTCTTGTGAATAAGCCTGATATTGTGCTAATGGAGAGTCAAGGATATTTTTGGTCGACGTTACCATTCCGTAAGACAAGAACCTTGAGAAAGCCGAATCTGGCTGATTTGACCCACATGTGGTCATGTTGGTCTATCGATCGAAATTATACCTGTAGTCGTTTTTACGAATAGTTAGCCTATTCGTAAAAACCACTCAAGTTCCAGTCAGTTTCGTGTCATATGAGGCGGCTGGGACTCCGTGCCTGACTGCTTCAGGCTCGAATGCGAAAGGCGGTCCTTATCGATACCGCCCACATCTTCAGTCGGTTTCTTCCCCTTTCCCCCTAACCCTCGGCTGTTTGGTCTCCCCTGCTGAGGGCTTCCATCTGCTTGGGATTTTATTTATATAATATATATTTATGTATATTTATCATTTCCTATTATTTATTTATTCAGTCCAATAATAATAAATAAGGCGTTTACTTCGGTAATCATTTTTACAAAATATTGCTGAGACTTTTCAGTGAGTAATCTGAGGATATTCATATAAAAATGAAATATAACGATTTTATAAAACCGTTATATTTCATTTTTATATGAATGGTGTTCTTTATAACTTCTTTTTTGTAATTCATCATGTTTTCTTTTTATATGTGTTCTTTTTCTTTGAATATCAACCTCACTGACACAGCGTACAACATGCCGATTAAAAGATGCGACTTTAAAACTAAGATTTATTTAAGTGAAAATAAACGTAATTAAAAATGCTATTAACAAATCCCACAGACTAGTAAAAATATTATAGTTCGTGCCAAATCGACTGAGAAAAACGGACGATGACTTCAGATATGAGGCGAGTGTCCAAAGGCGTAACCTACAAAACCTCAATTTAGATGTGATAACAATATTTAAATATTGATATTATCACACTTCTAGGTCGGCACATTTGTTTTTTTTTTGTTTCTTAAATAATATTGTCTGTGGTTCCTATAAACATCGTAAAATCTTACAGTACATCGCGAAAAATGTGTTATACAATATATGGTAGGTAACGCAGCAATTTATTTAATAACAGATTCATATTAAAAATATATTTGAAGCAATATAATAACCATATTGAGCTTTTGCTAATTCATCCCTTTAAAATAAACAAAACGCGCGTTACGTCAGTTCATTCTTAAAGAAACGTGATAATGGCAGCCAGAGATGCGTCACTTTGTTTGGGCCGAAAAAGGAAGAAAGTACTACATATATAAGGTGCCTATATGTTGAAGGTTTGTAGCCCCTGGTTAAACGACCGAAAGATCAATGTCCGTTTTTCTCAATCGATTTGGCACTAACTATGCTGCCAGTACTTCGTAGACTTAAGAACATAATAATTGTTCAATCTTCATAATTTTCATTATTGCAAAATACAAAATGTTTAAAATTTATCTGAAATTGACAAACAAACGTTACTATTTCATAAAAAGTTGAATCCTATTATTTTTCCAGATTGTCACAACGTATTTGCGCTGATGTGCCGGAGTAATCAAGAATTAAAAGAAAAATTATATTCATTCATGATCACCGATGAGACAGTCGACAAGTCATACTTCCTTCGACAGCTCTGCAGACAGATGGCCAACACAGTTTGCAAAGCTGATGCCGTACGTATTACATTGCATTAAATTCAGATGTATCGACCCACGGTAGCCCTCCCGTGTATCTTGTACGAGCTCTGTAAGAATATCCACTACCTGTCGTCATGTGGGTAACGTAAGAGGAGGCGGAGGGAATCAAAACAGAAGATGTACAGCAGCATCTTCCTGAATACAACAAAAATATTAGAAACTGCGGTTGCCTGCCCGCGCCTGCCAAGCGTAGCGAGCAATAATCAAAATATCATTCAAATATCCACCTATGAGACAATCTATGGGGTAAGCCTATATTGAGCAGTGCAATTTGCTAGGCTGTATCGGTAACGGTGGAGGCGGGTTTGCTTCTCGCCGGATGATCCCAGCGTTGCTGCTGATTCTGTCGCTGATGTGGTGTCTCGCCAAGGCTGTCCAAGAGAACTTCTGCCAGCCATCTCTTCCATCTCTGCACAGGGAGGATGACTCACTGGTCCATGCCGCAAAGGACCAAGCCGATCTACTGGGCTCTCTCTTTGCGTCCAACTCGACTCTTGATGACGGGAGGAACACACCGCCGACCATCCCGCAGTGTGAGTGCCCCATGCAGGATGTGTTGTTTACCCAATGCTCTGTGCGCAGAGCACTCCTCTCCCTGGACATCAACAAGTCGAGTGGGCCTGATGGCGTCCCTCCTATTGTGCTGAAGACGTGTGCTCCGGAGTTGGAACTGATCTTAACGTGTTTTTTCTACTCCTACTTCCTAGGCGTAGTCCAAAAATCATGGAAGACAGCCTTTGTGCACCCGATCCCTAAAAAAGGTAACCGCTCTGATCCGTCCAACTATAGGCCTATCGCCATCACCTCCTTGTTCTCTAAAATAATGGAATCTATTATTAACAACCAGCTCATGCCGAACTTTGTGGATCACTAGCTGATTAGTAACCGCCAGTACGATTTCCGTCGCGGTCGCTCGGCTGGTGATCTTATAGGTTACCTAACTCACAAATGGGCGAAAGCATTAGAGTCCAAGGGGGAGGCGTTGGCCGTTAGTTTGGACATAGCGAAAGCCTTTGATCGGGTTTGGCACAAAGCGCTTCTTTCGAAGCTCCCTTCCTATGGGCTTCCCGAGAAATTATGCAATGGGATCACCAGCTTTCTTGCAGATCGGAGCATCAAGGTCGTTGTAGACGGTGTAAGCTCTAATTCCAAGCATATTAACGCTGGTGTTCCACAAGGCTGCGTGCTATCACTAACGCTGTTTCTTCTGTTTATCAATGACATGTTGCAAATCGGTAGCATTCATTGCTGTGCAGACGACAGCACTGGTGATGCTTTAAAACACCGGCCGTGCCAATATTTCTTTTTTTTATTTGTACCGGGACAAAGTTGTGTCTGAAGTCGAGACTTTGTTGAACAAAGTCTCTGACTCTGGGCGACTAAACCTAGTCCAGTTAAATAGTCCTTCCAAAAGAAACAAGTTTGCGCGTTTACCGCTAAAAAGAACTCCTTCGTCGTATCTCCTGTTTCAAGGCACTCGCCTTGTTGCCTCAGCCAGTATCGGAATCCTCGGCGTCGACATATCGAGTGACGTGCAGTTTCGTGGTCACTTGGTAGAGAAGGATAAATTGGTCTCTAAAAAGGTTGGCGTGTTCAGCAGAGCGGGGCAGTTTTTCATGCCAGCTCACCGCCTGCAACTTTACAAGGCGCAGTACTGTACCCATCTCTGGACCGGGACTCCCCAGTGCCAGCTCCTTCCATTTGATCGCATCCAGCGCAGAGCAGTTCGAATCGTCGGCTACCGAGCTCTTTCCGATCGGCTTGACTCACTGCCACTCCGAAGAGATGTTGCATCTCTGCGTATTTTATCGCATCTACCACGGGGACAGTTTCACCATCGCACATCGCGACAAAACTCGCGATACCATCCATGTCATCTGGATGACTGGCGGTCCACCACTAAGCAATTATAAAGAAGTTTTCTTCCTTGCACAACTTCCTTGTGGAATCATCTACCACTAGAGATTTTTCCGGACCCATACGACTTAGGGACCTTCACGAAAAGAGCCCACTCCTTTTTAAAAGACCGGCTACGCATCTGCAATCCCCCTGGTGTTGCAGCTGTTCATGGGCGGGGGTAATCACTTACCATCAAGTGAGCCGTATGCTCGTTTGCCCCCTCTCCTATAAAAAAAAGAAGGGTGTAAGAGGGGGGCCTTCTGACTATCGTTTCTCAAAACTGTCCCGAATTCCTTAAAATTTCAAAATTGCATTATGTACATAATATCATATTATATATTTGTTAACAGGACAAATTTCTGGCGTGTCTGGAGTCACACCAACTCGACATCGATACGAGCGATCTCGCACTAAGTACACTCTCCAGGGTGTCAAAGTTTGCTGCACGGACTCGAATTAAGGTATCCACTATGTAACATATATATATTGAATATTGATGGATCAATTTAATTTTCATAGATGAGATCTGTAAATTTAGAGACACAGCTGTAGCATGTTTTTACTATAAATAATAGTTATCAAAATAGCTTAGCTTGCATTTTTAATGTAACAAATGTAAAGCAACCTTAATAATTTAGATCTCGCAATCTGTCTGTCTGAATGCTTATTAGTATATCAAATAAAACTTTATATTTTGTCAAATGTAAATACCATAATATGTGAATAACTTGAGGGTCAGACAAATTGCGTATGAGTATTCTTTTTATATTAAGTAAGTATATGTATATTTAAAATAATATCTTTATTTTGATCTGGCCAAATTAAATAAAAGTGTGCGCAATAATACGAAGCAGTGCTTATCTACGCAAATACAAGTCTGACGTTATCAATATTTTATGTATGTAACTAAGGCATGGAAACGATTTGTTTTCTCAGTTCATTATTTTGAAACAAACATTTAATGTACATGCTTAATTAAAAAAAAAACATGTCTGCAGTTCACACGCGGTAGAAGTGAAACCTTCAGAAAGGAGACCGAGATAATAGCAAACACTGTATACTGTATTCTATCTCATTCTCTCGCGGGCTAAATCTTATAGATGTATATGTTTGTCTCTTTTTAGTTTGCTTTTTTCGTTTCATCGAGTTTCAAATCACAACAATTCTAAAGAAGTTTTCACTTCAAATTCGGTCATTCTATGATTAAGAAAAGAAAAAAGTTCAGTAGTACCTGTGTTTTTCATTGTTGACCAACTAGTTTAATTAAAATGCCTGTTTACTTAGAAAAGATAAGGAATCACTATTAACTAATTATTAACATACGTAAAAAGAATGGATGAAGGAATATTTTTCTTTCGTATTCCGTATTTATTATTTTGTCTATGGCATGACTGCGCAGGAATGAGGATTATATATAGTCGCTAATCGTTCCCACAGTTGTAAGTATAAAGTTGTCGAGCTGTTATTTACAAGCAGCATAGAGATATGAGATGACATGAGGTAGTTAAACTAAACCAGTGTTAGCAACCATCGGCTAATGTTTACCATATTGATATCATTTACATCTACAGTTATTTTTCGTATCACAGATATTTGTTATGTAGTGATTGTGATATTATTGGATTATTTAATTTAATTTTTTAATTTAAAAAAACTTTATTGCACTTAAAGTAAAGGGGATAATGCTAGGCATCTTACCAGACAAAATAATGAAAATAATTATTAGACGCAATATCCAATTGAGGTAACAACAGATACGTGTTTCAGTCATTAAAGTTAATTTAATGTATAATTTATACTTGAAATTGTTGTAATTTAGGTTTTATCTTTACGATATTGTACATTTATGTCGATGATGGGTTGGTTTTACTTGTAGATGCACATAATATTGGTTTAGTGAGCGCAAGCTCAGGAGTCAAAAAATATTAAATTACTGTCGAGTACCGTCAAAACGGGAAGTAAATGCAGAAAAGTTGTATGAAGTAAGTGTAAGAAAATACTTAATGAGTTTTACTAAGCGGGAGAGTCTGCCCGTCTTCATGAGATAAAACATCTATAATCTATATTATCATTATACCGTCAGATCAAGTTAGACCGACTGGTTTTAACAAGAAATGAATAAAGATTTACTATGAAATAAATATAATATTAATAGTAAATTTATTTCATATAAATCAGTACGGTACTCGGTTATTTAACCGACATCAAAAAAGAGGGTGGCTCAAACATGACATTATATTTTTTATATGTATACATAATATCTCGTAAAATATTAGATAATCAACTTTGCTGTTTTTATGTAAAGAGTATATTTTAGCTGTAACGCTTATGTGGATAACAGCAGATCTGATGACTGTTCGAATTTTATTAAATTTTTTGGTTTTTCCTACCAATATGGTTAAATATGGTAAAATTAGGCCTACTGTATGATCACTGTTTGTAGTATTATCGAAGATACGTTTATGGTTGCTAACACTGGACGAGTAGCGGGCGAGCTAGTGTTAGTGTGGGGTGTATGGTGGGATGGGAGGACGTTGGCGGTGTAGCGCGGCGTGTGTTGCAGCTGGAGGCGCTGGCCGGGCTGGGCGGCTGGCTGCGCGCCGAGCCGGGCGCCGCGCTGCTAGACACATGGGTATTGCGCGCTCACTTACTCGCACAGGTCTGACGCGCCCGACCACTCTTCTTGCACTGCGACCACTCCTCGCGCTCCACTGTCTGCTCACGCCGCTAATTGAATCGCTTCACGCTGCTTCCCGCCAGCCACCATTATCCTAGTTAGCAATCAAACTGACGTCTGCGACATTTTATTAGCCTGTTTAGGTTTTATTACACTTTTTAATCAGAAATGTTTAGGTTTTATTACACTTTTTAATCAGAAATGTTTAGGTTTTATTACACTTTTTAATCAGAAAAATCAAAAGTTACATATTCTTATTCGTTAGCTTAAACCCGCGGCTCGTAACCTATGTGTTTTAGCCTGTTTAAACATTTCCATTGTTGTAAAAATATAAACTAAATACACGAATTACGTGACGGTTATGTATTTACAAACGCAATATAAGCTTCCAAAAGTTTAAAATTTATTAAAAATAAGATTAGTATTAGATAATCAAGTAGTGGAAAAATATTGCTGTCGCCAATGACTTCTGTTTAATAATAAATATAACCTAGCAATTTAAAAACAGATTTTCATAAAATTGCATATGAAAGACACAAATATCGATTGATTATACACAATTTTTTTGCCACTATAATTTTACAATAAGTTTTGGTAGCAGGAATCAGCGTGAGAATCAGCTTTTTGTTCGACAAATCATTTTAACCAAATTCAAATGATCATTTTAACATCAATTTCATTCCATTACATTGCGTTCGAAGGGACTTGTAGCGGGATTGATGAAAAGTGACAAGGAGAGACGTTTGGAGAAGAGAGTCATGTAATTAACGCTTTGCTTTAAATCATTTGTAATTAACGACCTATAATTGTTTGTGAGCGTGCCATACCTATAATGTCAAAGTTTAGTGATGTCCAGTTTACAAAATGTGTTTAAGTATCATAACATTGTCCAATAACAACATTTGTTCGTTGTTGCGTTTTGTCCCCGTTCGTATTGCATATTATAATGATTGTACAATAAAACATTGAGTATTAACCGCATGTTCGTGATATTGGGTAGTTAATTCAATAACTTTCAGGAATATTGTTATTGAATACAGTAACTTTAATCTAGACAATTATAAAATGAGTACAAAATGGAGAATGGAAAACTCTGTAATGTGATGTATATGTAACTAATAAATGATTGCGCAAACTCCTTAAAGCATTTGTATTGATATTGTACAAAGACAGGTCAATAAATTCGACGAATAAACGGGTGGGCTCAAATTCTTTAGACTTTTAGTGTTTAAAAAAATTAAAATAGAAAAGCGCGCCGTTATTAAGTTCCTCACAAATTATGAAAATCCTATTTATAACAGTTTTGGAAGAGATGTCTCTTTACGCTAGGTCTCCTTGCGACTCCAAGGCGGAACGGCTTGTCAAGGAATCCGAAGATGTCCGTTTAAAAATGAAACACCCTGCAGAAATGCTTGGAATAAAAGCTCAATTACAATAATTTTGAATATTTTTTAGGATTGTCTTGGCATGTCAAAGGTGTAGTGAAAACGCTCACGCTGCACCAAATGCTGTAACGATTAGCGTGTTTCGGCGAGGTTTAAGATCTTTGCAGCTAGAATAAAGAGAAACAACCCAGCCCAAAGCCCAGATTAATATTTGAATAAATGAAAAAACTAAATATATTTTTATTAAAAACTAAAGCCGAATTAATAAAATTAAGTAGAATAAAGTAACTGCCACGTAATAGCTTCAGATTTTGGGGCTAAAACATATCACACATAAGAAGTATTGAAACGCGAATTTCAGATATTATTATATGAAATTATTTAATTTTTTTGTCTAATTTGTACCCCTATTGAATGGATCAAGGAATGTCACAAGCTCGAATGTCGTACATTAAAAATTTCATCCCGAATTTTGCCATCTTTTTAAGGGTTTACTTTTTAAAAAAGAACTTTAGGGGAAATATTGCGAGTAACGATGCGATCCAGAGCGTAATTTCTGTGTATTATGAGGAGCAAGGAAAATCTTTCTTTTTTGACCGGCATAAACATCTTAATAGGCTTGATTCAAACTACTTTTACAGATTTTATCGCGTTTAATTTATTTCATTTTTAATACCCGACGTTTCGGGTGCTTTCCAGCACCCATAATCACGGGTGACTGAGGTGACTGACGTGCTCTAGTCTCTAAAACGATATCCATATTTATTCCATATTTAATTCCGTCGTGACGTCGCTGGTTAAGTTAACCAGGCCAGCTAATGTGCTGTGGGTTATTTAGAAAAATTTAAAGTTATTATTACGATTGTTTAGTTCAATTCCGAACTTTATTGAAACTGATTCGTAAAAGCAGTAAATACTAATTTACATACATTGATGATGGCACAATTTTGAATCCATAACTTCCCCGGCGTTCTAATGTTCGTATTTTTGCATTCAGGCACTACACACCATTGATAAAGATGATAACAACATCCAAAAATATATTATTCATTTGCAAAATCGGCAAAATCCTAGAACAGTGACGTCGCGAATAAAAAGTAATTTTTATGGCACTATTCGGTTAAAAAAAATTAAAGTGGTTCATTGGGTGTAGTACCTCTAGTATAGTAGTATCATACCGACCTGGAAAATAGCCCAAGGAGAATCTATTGAGAAGTAAAAATGATTTGTGATTCATTTTATAGTTCTGGGAATTATTTTATGGATCTTGGCATCCATTCCGCAAACTTATTAATTTTAAGCAACATTTAGTTAAATATATAGACAATATTCTTGAAACAGTTGCTTTCATTATTTATATAGACTATAGTTATTTTCATTACATGGTTTGGATAATTTTTGAGTGGGATTGTGTTTTGGGGCTTCTTGTATTATTGGGACGCGGTTATTGACCAAATTGTAACTTAGTCTCAGCTGTAAACGATTTTTTGTTGTGCAGTAAGTGATCTTCCCTTCACACAATTTTCCAATTTATAAATATTACATATTATGTTAACTGTTCTTAACTATCTGATCTTAAAGTTTATAACTGATTCGATTCAAATCCGTTAAATGTTCTCAATAATCTCCAATAAGTTTGCAGCCGAGTACTAAAATCATAAAACATGTGTAGCATAGTTATGTGGGATTTCAACAGGTAGGACGTGCGCTTTCTTTTAACAAGACGCCGTCGAAGTTAAAACGCGCGATGTCATCGATGATCTCGCCGTTCGGCTCTACGTCCAACTTGACGCCGGCATCGCAGCTGGCTCAGATGAGGCTGGCCAGCTGCAATAATATCAACGTAAGTATACGTTTTGCCCTCTCGTGAACGAATTTGAATCTTATAGTCATCATCATAAGATGATAAGAAATTTTAATCAGTGTTAATAAATAAGGTCTCTACAGAGTTCTAGGAATTTATAAATATAATTCATATTTAATGGCGGATTGAAGATTATACAGAACCGACTCAAATACAACTGCATTTTATGAGTTCTGATAAGCATAAATGCATCTAATGATTGACTAAAATCTTAATTTTATATTTGGTTAGGTGACGAAGTAGTAAGGGGACAAAAGTGATGACTCTTATTTTTTGTTTGGTCGTGTTAGTGAAACTTTGTGTCTGATCACGTGGTCATGGTGTAATAAAATTTTCATTTAGTATCAGAATTATATATGGCGACTATATCTTATTAAAATCCTGAATTTGATACTCATGTTCTGGCTTCGCGATCGGTAACAAGCTACTAAACTGCCAACCCACCTGCCAAGTGTGGCAACTATGGCAAATATTCTCCCTATAAGCCAATCTATGGGGGAAGGTACGCCTATGGTACCAAACATAGAATACTATAATACATACATAATAGAACCGAGGAGTGGGCGGAGCCCGCGTGGCTACTAAAATGTCACTAACACACGAGATGTGTTTTGACGTTAAAATCGTTTCCAAATTTCGCATGCAAATTATTTAGAAAATTCCAAATTGCACCCTATTTACAAATAAATATGTATTAAAATTTAATGATGATCTTGAACATTAATCAAAAGCCTAAAATGTGTAAATTTACTCAGTCTGTCAACACAGCGAATCGGGTTTGGCGACGCCAAGCCTTGTATAAAATAAAGTTAACCGCCATTTTATTGTGTATTTTAGTATTCTATGGTACCAAACTAAGAAAGTTTTCTTCCCTCTATCTCTATTTACCGTTGATCGTGAGCGAATAGCTTCCAATCAACTCTCGACTTAAACGTTTAAATTTATTTCCATTTACACGGTTATCGATCAGAATAATTTGAATTGTGTAGGAGTTGGAACCGCACGTTATGAATGAATGCAATGTTTCAGGAGATGGGCACGAGCGGCGGCGGCGGTGCGGAAGGCGGCGAGGTGCTGGTGGCGCCGCTGTCCGTGCAGCCCACGCGCAAGCTCACCGCCGCCGCGCTGCGCCGCTTCTGACGCTCGCGCCGCTGTTAGGCACCGCTAACACAGACTCGCGATCGTTTTGTCGACGCTTCATGGCGACCGTTCAAAAGAAAAGCCACGCAATGCGTCGCGGTGGCGGCGAGGTACTTCACCGCACGAATATCGCCATTCGCCGCATTGGCGGCCGTGCATTTTTTAGCACTCGCAACAACCGCTCGGGTACCGCGCCACCGGCGCAACGCACTGTGTACCTTCGCTCTCAAAGTGATTTAACATTAAGCGCATCTTGCGCAGGGCGTGGGAGGCGAATGCGATGGCAAGCATGTATAGGGCGTGTCCAAACAGGTATGAAAAGTTGCACCAATCGAAGCGAATACGCGCGGGATGCTATAATTTTAATCGGAAGGTAATCCGTATTTCAATTAATTTAGTTGCAAGTAATACATTTGTTTTATCATATAGAATAATATAATATACACAAACACGTAATTTATCAAATAATCAAATTCTTCTGTAATTTTGAACGACACCGAAACAAAAAGAAAAGACAGTTGTGTCACTTTCATCGAATAAGTGTTCATCGCATCCCGCAAGTTATTCGCTTCATCAGTGATGTTATAGGAGGATTAAAGCTTTGTAGTGCGTTGTAAATAAGGTGAAATGATTGGAATGCTGAGCTGAGCTAAGAAAAGTCAATCCTTTATTGAAAAACAGGACCTTTCCCTGTGGATGTATGGGTGATTTCCATCGATCAACAGGGATGTATATAATAATGTATATGATGTAGGGATGGCAGAAAACGTGTTGTTCCACTGGAGGCTGTAGTTTTTGTAGAGAGAGTTTGTTAGTGAGCCCACGTATTCTGGCCTCTTATAGTATTTCCACTCGAGCTTCCAAGTCCTGGGTCCTTTGTTTATCAGCCACACTCTGTGATAACAATATTGACACCATCAGACGCAGTTCCTTTACATCTCTCTGGATGCTGAAGGTTAATGTGGGCTCCCTGACGATATGCTGAAGCGGTGGGTAAGCTGAGTCATGAGCACTGTCTTCTACATCTGTGCCTTCTTCTGTGGGAACGGAATGTGTGTTTTCTCTCTTCTCTGGTTAGACTACCTCTTTTTGATGCCATGATATAGACTCCCAGTGTGGTCCCGACGCCTGACACACCTTGGTGAATGCACCTTAACGTTTCCAAGCAAGAGCGTCGGCTGCCGCTCTCAGAATGTCATCCTCTTCTCCAGTGTCCGTTATCATGGTCGTTTTGGTTTTCCTGTTTGTGTGTGTTTCTCCTACAACACAAGCCAAATTTAGGATTGTGGCACGCCTGCCAACAATACGCCCTACCATCCGCTCCCCGCCCCTTTGAGCTAACTATCGGTCTATCGTTTATGTACTTATGTCACATTAAACAAATACGACCGCTGCGAATGGAGAAGGTCGTTTCTCTAATTATAAACCAGTGCTATTTTTAACAAATAGGGATGTGGCAATTAATCTAATACAATTTGTTCTAGACAGTGAATGTGTAAGGGTATTTAAGTGCCTTGGTATGAAGGATGGAAACGAGAATGGCCTTAATAATTTATTTGATAGTATTACTATAATGCAAAGCAAAACGGCCTCTAATATTGTTTTTGGATTTAATGTTAGTGATTTATCTATGTGAGATTGTAGTTATAAACTGTAGAAACGAGAACATTTGACTACGCGGTACTTGTAAATAGAAGGCGGCTTCAACGTGTAACTACACACATCTGTTTCTTTGTTGTTATTCTAGGGTATGTTCCAAAATGTTTCCAGTATACTGACGAATGCAAATGACGTCATTAATTGACGCCGTATTCCACCATATTCGATACAAAGAATCACCAGTATGGCGTCGATGTATGACGTCATTTGCATAGGCCATTGTACTGGGTTGTATTTCGGAACATACCCCTAATAATATATCTCCACTATTCTGGCAGATAAAAACCAGAGGCCAGTTTCTGGGATCTGTGTAATATAACATGGGTAAATTTTAATTATAAACAAGCTTCGTGTCAAATAGATTAATTGATATTATCGATATTAGTTTTTATAATTTGTACATATTGTGATATTTTAATTTAATCATTGAGTAAGCCTCGTAAATAGGTAGAATAGTGTTATATTTGTTAATCTACCTTATCCGTCTGCTATCGATTTTAAAAAAACGTTCCTAATATTTGAATTGTTGCTTCATTTGAACGTTTAATTGGATGCCCATTGGCCTTTTATGTAAAGGGATTGAAGTCAGTATGCTGACTTGGTTCCTAGCTACCTGTACATAGCGTGTGTGTCCTGCGCTCAGCCGCCGAGGCTCTGTCGTTAAATCAATGTCCTGGAATGTATCTTTCTTCTTATAACCGATGCGGAATTAAGCGTTTGTGCATCGGGAATCATTATGTATACACATCGTTATGTAATGTACAAAGATTCATATTTATATTTTAAACGATTGAAGAAATAAATAATTTCCAATAATCAATGCTGTTTTACTGTTATTACAAAAGTACATCATCAATGTTACATCTTTACATATTATTACAAAAGTATTTATCATGCAACGATGAAAAAAAAGAAGAAAATTAGACAATAATGAGTCTTTATTTCTCGTCAAAATAATATTACATGGTTGGAGTTAGTTATTTCGTCGGCGCTCAGTAGAGTATAAGAACATATAGGCGTTATGACACGCCCGCACAGGCACCGACAAGACAACGGCGGCAAGCGGCGTTAGTGCTATATACATATAACGCTCCGGCAGCTCACTGTGTTTTAACACTGTCAGTTTCAAAATTATGGCAATCTACGACAAAATACAATATTTGGTAAAATGATCGTATATTATATCTAATATTGTATTATCAGTCAGGAATATAGTATTAAGAATTCAAGACATTACACTATACAGAAATCAGGAATAAAAAAGCAAACCAACTTAGAGCTCCTGATTATTATACCCGACCTATTTGATACTGACACAATGAATTTAGGACCCTAACTTAGTCTGAGTGCAAACGTCTGCGCGCACGACCTTTATAATGAGGCACTTAGTCCAAGCATTAAAAAATTTAAATTTAAAGTGGTTTTTCGATGTTTTACTAATTGTCAAAGTAAATTTGTCTCAAAAAGTTTTGAAACATATCTCGGCTTATTGAAACTAATAAGCAAATGGTCTAAGAGCCAGTGAGCGGCAGACTTCACGCTTTTTTTCAGTTAGACTCCTATACTTGTGGTATATGAAATAGGGACTCTTTAATTTGACCGGCGTTTGATGTAGAGACGCCTTGGTGTGAAAGGTAAAAAATGACCAAAAAATACGTCAAAACGTCTGCCACTTTGACATCTTGAAATATTCAATAAACATTTCCGAAAAATAACATTGGCAGACACCTATGGCAGTTTCAAGGTAGTGGCAGATATGTTAACAAATACAATATTTTTAAATTTTTTACGTTATTTCAATAAAGCTGCATTTTTTATATATGATAATACTATTTGACAGGGTAAGGTTTTAACGAAGGAAGGTAGGTTCAAACGAACCAACCACCTAGGCGGTCAACCGCTAGTGCGTAAGGGGCCTAACGTGAAAATAATGCGACCTCTAGTCGAAGTTAATAAGCTGATAAATTGTGGCAAGTAAAATTAAGCAGTTTATAATGTCAATACGGTGGTTTGAATTAGAATGTTCCCTTTTTTATATGTCTATCTATATACATGTACGTACGCTTATATAGGTTGACTTGGGGCATATTTTTCGTGAATTTTGTTCTAAACCCGCCTTCCATTTAGTTGTAGGTCAATGGCTTCAAAAATATTACATAGTTTTTTAGAAATTATCCATTCTATCAAAAACACTACGATGGCTGCTTAACTTATTTTATTGCTTATTTATATGCAGGTTTTGGTTTAGTTTTAGTAGTTAAGTTTAGGTTTTTATTTATATTCGCTTTTGCTTGCTTTTTGAAGTTTTCAATATATTCATTACCATTTAAAGTGGAAGTAACCGCTCCAAATATTGCTTGGGTTAACGTAACTATTTATAATCTTTTGTATTTACGTCACGATAAATGCTTATATTACTAAAACTTAATGTTTCCAGCAAAAGTGTTCATCCAAGATCATTATACTCGTATTATTTGTTCTGTGATACACCTACATCTACCACCGAGCCATGTGATCGTCAAAGGCATATCGAATGGTACATACTACTGCAATAAATGGTATTATGTGCCACTGAGTGTTTATTCTTGTAGAGCACATATTTTCTTCAGTGGCGATGTTTATATCGGACATAAAGTCGTGGCCGCGGTACACGTATATTAACGCCACTAGCTCTAGCACGCACACGTACGGTGTTGCCAGGCCGGACATCACAGCTTCCACGCATTCCAACAATGCAAGCCCATCCTGTAAAAAAACTTTTTGATATAATCAGATTATTTTAATAAAAGTTTAACAAAGTATACACAATAAAAGTAAAATTTTTAATAGCTTTATGTGTCATTGTTGTCATTTTGGATGTCTCCTCCTAGGAAAATATCATCTCAACCATTAAAGAACTGCATTCTATTTTTTATAAAACTAAACAAACACGCGATTCCGAGTATCCACCCTAGGGTGGATAAACGGAATAATCCGCCAGATCGTAAGGCCAAAATATTTGGCCAAAATTTTAAAATGTAATTTTGGGCTTGTTGTCGGGAGAAATAAATATTTAAAAAGTAAAATAATGATTTTATTTTTTAAATTAATAGGCTAGAAAAAGACAACATTGTTAATACATAACTAATTTAAGTACCTACACTTAATGTTTAGGTTACCACATGTATTTGGTATTGGACTTTTCTGAGTCCATCAATTTAGATCTTTTAGTAGTATTCAGTAAAGATTTAAAATTCAAACAATGCACTTCAAAGTACAGTCTAACTCAGCTTTTATTAAATTAAAGCCAGTTGTGATGTGAACAGATGCTGTTAGTCTGGAGATTTTGAGTTTTATCGGGAGTTTGGAGATTATTTAAAATGTCGGGAGAATCCAGGTGAATCCCGACCATCTGACAGTCCTAAACACAGCAGTAGCACGCCCTGCTGCTTGCCAGCAGGAATAGGTAAGGGCGTGGTGCCTATCCGGACGGACTTTTAGGCAGTGAACGAGTCACCATTTAGATCTACTATAGTGTTTTAAATTAGTAAGCTCATTTGTAAGTAAGTACTTAAAGTACTTATTTAATTAAAAATTATCTATTATACTGGGTGACTTTTTTACCGTCTGAAAAAAATAGGGTGTAACAGGAGAAAGGAATAGAAGCCTATGGCACTTATATTTTATAATTTTTATTATGTTACATTAACATATTACGAAACTGATCTCAATAAATATTACTAATTTGAAATAAACTTTCGGTGCTTACTAAAAAAATAACGAAATAATTTTTTAACTAAATAAATAAATCGATTAAAAACTATCGAATACATACCCAATTAGTAGTATTTATTGATATATCAATTTCATAATATATTAATGTAAAATAAAAAAATATTGCAAAATATCAGTGCCTTAGGCTTCTAGTCCCTTCACATGTTACATCCTTTTTTCCAGACGGTAAAAAATCATCAGTATAGGTAATATTATTCCGTCAAACTTAAAGACGCCTATACTTACACTGGTTGCGAATAGCAAACTTAACGCCATGCAAGTTATAATCAGTCCACCAACGACAGCTTGCTCCACGAAACTAAAAATGTGTAAGCATTTATATTTATATATAATCATTAAGATTAGTAAATTGTAAAACAAAACCCAGTAAAGTAGCACTCACACTAATTTTACTCTATATTCGAATATGGTGTGCAGCGCCGTCTTGAGCAGTACAAAGGCAACTGTGATGTAAGAAAACATCAAACCGCCAAATAGTAGTGTTGACCTTAGCAATACGAGTAGTATAAGAATATAACATTTTTTTAAAAATAAATTACATACTTCATTATTTAGTTTGCGTATGCAGAATACTTACAAAAAGATGCGAGTAATTACCGACAAGAGTACATTTAGAGTACATAGGTAATATCCACAAATTACCTGAAACAGAGATATTTTTGTGACCAATGATAAAATTAGTCGAGGTCTGAGGGATGTCATTTCTACAGGCTAGATAGATGAAGTTTCTGTAGGAATTATATCTGCAACCGGTCGTCGTCGCTGAATGACTCCTGTCCAATCGACTGGTTTCTTTAAATCGTTATATATAATGTGTATAAAATCTAATACAGTGATTCCCAAAGTGGTCTATATCGACCCCTAGGGGTCTATGACAACCTGCAAGGGGTCTACGTCAGCGAAAGAAAAAGTGGATCTCAACACATACACTGATAGTACCTATTTACTTACATCATACTATCTTATAATATCAAAACATATACATTATTTATAAAAGTACCTATGAAGTAAAAAAATTATTATATATGTTTATAAAATTGTGTAAGTTGTAGGATGTTGGTATTCGCTTTGTGGTCGCAATACATTTTGAACTTGTAAAAACCTGAGAGTCGCAGTCTCAGAGCTTCGCTACCTTGCACTGACTTGTTCAATTCGTCACTCTATAAATACGAATGTGGGACAAATACGTTTATTCGTTTCCTGAATCTTGAAAAGGAAAGTGCTAAGAAAATATTTAAAAAAATATAAACAGATAGTATATCACACAAATTATAGTGAGTCAGTGTTATTTTGTTTGAGAGTGCTGGAGAAAAGTAAGTACATTATTTTTTATTAAATTTTAGTTTTGTACTCGTAGTTAGCAAAGATAGATAAATTACGCCAATCATGACTTTAGTTATTAGTAGTTTAATATTCAATCATGCAAAAATTACACGAGTACTCCTCAATAGTTTCTTTTTGAAAGTTTTAGCAATCGGTATTATAATTACAGTGCAATCTCCGTAATTCGAGCTAATTGTTGCAAGAAGATGTTCGAATTATGGAATGTTTTCGGAAAAATCAAAAAATATTTTTAATATACAGCTGCTGGATTTTCTGTCTTATTTAAATAATTTAATTTTGCCCACAGATGACTGATGCCATGTCCGAATCTAAAAAGAAATGTAAACAGTACAGTGTCGATTATTTGAAATTTGGCTTCATTCCATCATTGCCGGACAAACAATTGCCTATGTGCCTTTTATGCAACAAAGTTTTGGGCAATGACGCTATGAAACCATCTAAACTGCAAGATCATCTGAGAAGATGCCACCCTGATAAAACAGAGAAAGATTTGAAATACTTTCAAACACTCAAAGATAAATTTCAGAAGAGACCTACACTGGACAGAATGTTCGCTTCGACGTCACAAAAAAATGATGATGGTTTGCGGGCGTCTTACAATATCTCGTTACTTATAGCAAAATCCGGAAAACCGCATACTATCGGAGAAAAGTTAATTTTGCCAGCCGTTGAAGAGGTTTTAAAAACTGTTTTACACAAACCTGCATCTGATATCATTAAAAGAATTCCCTTGAGTAACAATACTATTGAAAGACGTATTGTTGAAATGAGTTCTGATATTGAAAGCTTCTTATATAATTATTTGCAAACGACCCATTTCTCTATACAACTGGACGAGTCGACTTTACCTGATAATGCAGCATTATTATTGGCATATGTTCGTTTTATTATGAATCAAGAAATCTACGAAGAACTGCTCTTCGCAAGAACTTTGATAACCGACACTAAAGGTGAATCAATATTTCATGTTTTGAAGGATTACTTCATTGAAAAAGCAATTCCTTTATCAAATATAATATCAGTAGCTACAGATGGAGCACCTGCCATGGTTGGACGTTATCGTGGATTTATAAGCTATTTAAAACAAAATGTGTCAGGGGTGTTAGCAATACATTGCGTCATCCATCGACAACATTTATTTGCTAAATATTTGAGTGTTAGATTGCATGAATCACTTAATTTAGTCATTGATGCAGTAAACCGAATCCGAAGCAACGCGTTGCATACGCGGTTATTTGCGCAGTTGTGTGAAGAAAATGAACACTTTCATCAATTACTCCTTCACACTGAAGTACGCTGGCTGTCGAAAGGCTTATGTTTGACAAGTTTTTTTTGCACTTTTTTGAGACTATTTTAGAATTTCTGGATACTAAAGATAAAATTTTAAAAGAAAATTTAATGAAGAGGAAAACAGACATCGCCTATTTAACAGATTTGTTTACAAAATTTAATATGGTTAATTTGCAATTACAAGGCGACAGTTTAAATTTGATTAAAATAAAGTCCATCTTATCAGCGTTTCTTGCCAGAGTTAAACTAATGAAGCAAAATATTGGACGGGGCGAATTTTCTCAGTTCCCCAATTTGTCACAGACAAGCAGCCAGGAAGACGACGTTTCAACTTACGTTCAACATTTAAATCAAAATGCCCTCTATTCAGATTTTGAATCTAGGTTTGAGGATATTTTGACTATGGTAATACCACCGTGGATAATTAATCCATATTGGTGACATAGAAGAAACGAATGTCATAATACAAGAGGAACTGACTGAACTAAGTACAAACGAAGAACTTAAGATTCAGTTTAAAAACGGATATCAGCAATTCTGGCTGCAAAACAACATACCCGTTACTTATCCCGTATTATGGAATATAGCGAGGAAATTTTTAATTTCCTTTCCATCGTCATACCTAGTGGAAAGGGGGTTCAGCGCTGTTACCAATCCCCTAACGAAAAAAAGAAACAGACTGGACATCATTAGCCGAGGAGATTTAAGATTAACCCTTACAAAATTGACGCCAAATGTTGATAATTTATTATTAAAGCATCAGGTTCATCCTTCTCACTAAAAATATTGACTTATTGCTTATGTTATTTTATTTGTAGTTTATTTTATGTTTATTTAATGCTACGTATATTTTACATAACAGATACAAAATTTTATTTTGAGTAGTTTTAATTTAAATTCAATTAATAAATGTATAAATTAACATGTGTTTTTACTTTAAGTTTTTAACACTAAACTTCACTACAGTTAGAAATTTACAGGAAATCAATATCAGGTAAGTAGGGGGTCTACCCAACACGGAAAAACATGGCAAGGGGTCTACGACACAAAAAAGTTTGGGGAACTCCGATTTAATATAAGAAACTTAAATGTTCTTGGCGCTATTCTAGTTAGCCATAAAACCCCTTTCCAACTGCTTCCTGAGTTCTCTTGTTCTAGCGACTCTGCTCCATAGTTTATCCCACATGTTACAAAATCATCACTCGTTTCTTTTAAGACCTGCGACGAAGCCATGTATTTTGATGGCAAGGACACTCGGTTGCAGCTATATTAATCTAGTAGTGTTAAATTAAGGAAACAGAAATTGTCAGTTACAATACGGTGTTCAACATGGGGAACCATCCCCTATCCCTATTTCGTATCATGACTCTCCCTAACGTAGTGATATTGGTGGAATACTTTGGCTACTCCTTAAAATTAAAGAAGATAGCTGTATTGACTCTGCCACACTTCTTCTTGCGCTGCCGCGATGTTGCCTTCTCTGCCTACACACTGCTCTAACCGCGCAATTAATCGTGACGCTCCGCACTATAGGTCTATAGATCGCTCGCGTTTGTAACGCAATGGAGGTTGCAACTGTAAAAAAGTTACAGCCTATATACGTCCCACAGCTGGGCACAGGCCTCCGCTCATTCCTGAGAGGGTTTTAGGGTAAGGAATTGTCCGCCGCGCTGCCCCAGTGCGTGTTGGCGAACTTCACATGTCTTCGAAATATTTTTTTCCTTATTTCTCTGACATGCAGGTTTCCTCACGATGTTGATGTTGAAACTGTGGCACAGAATAAATATTAGTACTACGTAACTGTGGCAGCATGCGCGCTATGCATATTTATTACAGCTAATTATATCAATGTCATAAAAAGAAATATACGTTGTCATCGTCGACATAGCTTTTACTCTGTATATTCTTTACTCATGTGATAATATGGCTGAATGATGATGATATGTACACTATTTATAATTTTAAATGACACGTGACGTGCTTCCGTAACGATTGTTGCCAGTATTGCCAGTCCTTTGACTCGCGCCCAAAAAACCGACAAAACAGGGAGCGATGGGCATGACGAGGAGCATGACGTGCGACATGACGAACATTGTGGCCACACGGCGTCTCTGCCTCATTTCCTCACTATTTTCCATGCCACTCGACGAGTGTGTGGCCGGTGGGTATAAACTAACGGCACTACCGCTGGCTTTATTAAGCCAAAGCAATGCGAAAAGTGCGATACGTCTATTTACTATCGTCTCATTACTATAATAACGTAATTTAGTATCTATAAGTAAGGTGTTTTTCCACTATTTCAGTGGAAATTTGTTAAGCGGAACACTTTCGGAATCATTTCGATGTCCATCCGTTCGTTTCTCTCTTATTTAACGTAATCATTTGTATTTTAGCACTTAGAGTGTGATGGCCTAATCCCAAACTTCAGAACAAAATTGAACACACGCCGCGTTGATAGTATATTTGCCAAACTACATTTTGAGTCCTAGGTTTGAATACCAATGTCAAAATTTGTGTAAAAAGCAAAATTTTAGTTGTCGTGCCTTGACGTACTGCGACTGTCGCCAGATCTCCGTTACTAAATCCAAGTCTGCCTTCGCCTTCATCTTTCAAAACTTATGCTTTGCAGATGCTGACGTGAGCAGGTTTTTTTTTTATAGGATAGGGTGACAAACGAGCACACAGTCCACCTGATGGTAAGTGGTTGCTGTGGCCCATAGACATCTACATCTATCCTCAATTACGAATCAAAATGCAGATGCGTTGTCACCCGTGAGGACTAAGATGGAATGCCTCGTTTCCAGTAAAAAGGGTCTCCGGTTCTCTACACTCACCATACGAAACACAGCAGCATTAAGCTACTATTTCACGCTGGTATTCTGTGAGAGCGTGGTCCTTCCCCGGTCGACCCGACCCATTCGTGCTACAACTATACATCTAATATAACTGCAGCATGGCTCTACCACGTATAAAATGGAATGTAATATTAGGATGCATTACATAATAAACTTCAAATAATACAGCAGTAGTTTACACAAAGATCAAAATCGTTCAGGAGCACTTTACATCGCTAACTTGAGGTTTTTGTTAACAATATTATATTATACAAAGGAATTTTAACGTTATTTTTTGATACCGTAACCCGAAAACCTCCTAATCTGACGAATTAAATTTAAAAAATGTGAGCCATTTTGGAGAAATCAAATACTAATATGTTATCATTATCATCATCACATTAACGTGGTAGAGCCATGCAACAGCTATATTAGAAGTATATAGTTTTAGCACGAATGGTCGGCTCGAACGGGGAAGGACCACGCTTTCACAGAATAGCAGCGTTAAATAATCGTAATCGTAGTGTTGAATGTAAGGAACCGGAGACACTTTTTATCGGAAACGAGGCATTCCATTTAAATCCTCATGATTGACAACGCATCCGCATTTCAATTCGTAATCGAAGATAGATGTAGATATGTCTATGGGCCACAGTTACCACTTAAGGTGGACTGTGTGCTCGTTTGTCACCGGGGCTCTCTCATTGTTAAGAAGATTTGCTCTTAACGTTTGGCAGGCGGATGACGATGATACAGATGGTTTCTTTTATTCTTCCCATGAATCGTCGTTTTACGCCGAGGTTGATTTTACGCCTGGCGTAAACGGGATGGTTATACTGCCATCTATCAGAAGCTATAAGATCTTTCTTTGCCGAATACAACACCCCATTTCATCCTGTGGGTGTTGTAAGAGGCTATAGAGGGAAACATGCAGCCACCACACGGTTAAATACTATATAAGACTATAGTATTTTTTTTTTTTTGCGTTTTTTTAATTTTTTAAATACCGACATTTCGGACGTTTTCGGGTTATCAGATGATTCGAAAATTTTGTTTGAGAAAATCCGTACTTTTAGTTTTATTCATACTATTCTATATATTAAGATTTCCAATCTGCCCAGTGGGAACTTTTTAATTGTTAGTTGTATCGTTTTTGAGTACGAGCTAAAAGTTTCTCACTCTCATACATGTTGTAGACCTGCTTTGGGTTCGATTGTGCGCAGAGAGATGCACCGATGACATGCAGAGCTGTTAGTACGAGCATCAAACCAGATTGCCATACGTTCTCACTGTTCAAGCGGGGATCTATATGTCCCGATGCTGGTGACATGAAATAAAATTTGATTGGTTTTATTTATTTAAAATCTAAGTTATCTCGCTTAAATAAACAACATAGATATACCGTAATGGTTCAATCCTTTGCCATGTATAAGCTCAGTACCAGTACTTGCCGAATGTATGTAAAGAGCACATTCAACAGCATCAGATAAAATCTGAAAATGTTAAATATTTGTTAATACCCAACGGTACGAACGTAAAAGTAAAATGAAGGAGTACTTACAATAAGAGCTTCCTTTGCTCCCATGCGAAAAACTTTGCCTAAGCCTTTTTTTATATTACTCAGGTTAGCAAACGCCATGCCTGCCAGTAATATGACCCATATCCAAGGAATGGCTACAAGCCATAAATACATATTATTCCAGACTAACTAGAATAAATTGTGATTAATAAAATTCTATGATTTACTAAATTGTAAAAAGTATACTACCTGCATGACTATTTATTATACAGGTGGCTCAAAATAACGTTGACGGGTAATTTTACTAATTACTTTATTGGTTTGATTTGAATTAACTTAAAAATCATAAAAATACGTTTTAATTTGTACAAGAATCCCTATTAATCTTCAAAATTACCTTTAACGCGAATATATAAAAACAAATGCTTAGTAATTTTTTTACAATTTTCCGCACGTCCTCTACAGATACTCGTATTTTTAACCTGTCGTTTAAGAGTAGTTATAGCTCATCAAGAAAGTTTTGGCGGAAACTTGACCACCGGCGAATTGCTGCTCTTGTTTTATTGTATAAATATTAGTTTAGAGTGGATTTTGATACGTAAAAGTGGTGCGACGGTAGTGTGGAACTATTAGTGGAAAATGAAACATGTTGTGCATTTCAAGATAAGGTGTAAACTTAGGCGTCTTGAGATACTGTCTGTCGTCATTGACTGTCTGTCAAAATCTCCCAAAAACTTCGGAATGTAATGCATAAACATATTCTGAAGAGTCGTTAAAAACGAAGAACCGAATGAAATGAAGACATGGCTTGAAGGACAAGCATCTAAGCCAAAAATATTCATCATCATCATCATTACAGCCCTTCACAAGTCCACTGCTGAACATAGGCCTCCCCCAAGATATGCCACAAAGCACGGTCCTGAGCCACCTGCATCCATCGACTTCCTGCATGTCTTACCAGGTCGTCAATCCATTTAGTGGGGGGTCGCCCTACACTTCGCCTACCAGTACGAGGCTGCCACTCGAGAACCTTTTTTCCCCAACGATTGTCGGTTCTTCGAGCTACATGGCCGGTCCATTGCCACTTCAGCTTACTAATCCTTTGGGCTATGCCGGTCACTCTGGTTCTACTGCGGATATCCTCATTTCTAAGTTTGTTAATCGTTTGTTAATCACGCAGAGAAACTCAAAGCATAGCCCTCTCCATAGCATAGTTCGCTGAGCGACTTTGAGCGTCCTCATACGGCCAGCAGTGAAGGACCAGGTCTCGGTTCCGTAGGTCATCACTGGCAACACGCACTGGTTGTACAACTTAGTTTTCAGGTTTTGAGGTATACCTGACGAGAAGATGTGTCGTAATTTCCCGAACGCTGCCCAGCCGAGTTGAATCCGTCGATTGACCTCTCGGTTGAAGTTGGACTTACCTAGTCGGACTATTTGTCTCAGGTAAACGTACTCGTCAACAACTTCGAGCTAAGTGCTCCCAACAACTACCGGCATAGGTGTGACATGGACATTAAACATGATCTTTGTTTTGTCCGTGTTCATCTTATAGTAAAAATATTAGTAATAATAATATAGCTCATCAAAACTATATAATATGGTAATACATAGTACACGTAGCTCCAATAATCCGTTGAATTCAGATTGGACGAAATGTGGCCATTCTGTTGATTAATGAAATCGGAACAACCACAGAGCCTAAGTTTTAAGAAGTGATGCACTTATTAAAACTTAGGCTCTGTTTACTCTTTTCTATGGGAGTCATGTTAAAATATCGATGGACTGTTGCCATAAAAATATCTTGATTAATATTGATCCCATTTTCTGCAAAAATCAAGAAAATTCATAAAACCATAACTATAATGATTTTGACGGGCCAACTGTAGTAAGTTCATTAATGAAAGTCCAGATCCTGATATTATGGTAATGATAGGCTTTTGCTATTGCAAATTTTTTATCGAAAATGTTCGTTGGAGTATACGTATTTTACCAATTTGATGATGCGGAGCGTTGTTCGAAAGCAAAGGACATCTCTCAAGACGGACTTTTTGCCTTTATTGCTTTTGAATAAGTACCCAAAAAATATTTTATTTCGAAATATTTATTTCTGCCAACGTTAATTTGGGCCACGATGTACCTATATCTTATAAAATCTAAACTTACTCTTCCATAGGTAAAACGCTCTATAACCAGTAAAACCCACAGCACTGACCATATAAAAACTATACAAAACAATAAGGGCGTATTAAATTTTCTAAAGTTGTAATCAGATCGCCACGACATTACTTCTACGCTGAAACGATATGGATTTTTTTTTAATTAGTTCATGCAGTAATTAATAATCAATTAAGAAATTTAATTTATCGAAGTCTACTCACTAGAAGAAATTATAAGCTGGAGTACTAAACAAGGCAGGATAACCACTGTTGTAGGTTTCTTTACACATCTGTATTTGTTGTGATTGTCGCCTTTTTACAAATTTACCTCTAATAGAGAAAAAAATATAATATGTATCATTTTAGCTATAACGTGGACATTTTTTTTTGTTATTAAATGATTATTCATCTGTTGGAGCAACATTAGAGGTCACAACTGTGTTGATATTTAAAATAAAGAAAATGTTTTCTTACAGATTGTTAAAATACAGACAAAATACACAAAAAACCTGTAAATGTGGAATGAGGATTGAAAGTGGAAGTTACCGACTGGCATTCATTTCAATATGAATGCCACTCGGTAAATACTATTGATGTACCTAGTGGTACTTTCCTAAATACGCTGAACTACTAGACGGATGATTCATTAGAAAATCATGTACATCGTGGACATGATGATTGTTTTTAAAATCACGAAAAAGATTTATTGATACACGCAAACGAATAAGTTTGTATACAATATGTAACGTAATTAACGCACACCCTCAGACACCCCAATTAGTATATTATGTTATAATCATAATACCTACATACACTGAATTTTTAGTTAAACATTTTTATGCACTGATTATTTATCAAATTAGTTATACTAATTCCGGAAGAATGTTGTGGTCACAGTACAAATCCACGAACGCAAAGACTTTAACGTTCTTGAAATAAAGTTCATTTTTCTTTATTTTTATTGAAAGACAGAATTAGGAATAATACAAATAAAACTGCACTCTTAAAAGTGTTATTGCCTTAAGTTAAGGTCCATTTCAGTTTGTTTTGACTGTACAGATTTAGTGTGACTGTAATTTACGTAGTTTTAATTATTTTTGGGATAAAAAATTATCTATATTAAAAATGATAGGAATCGATTCAGTAAACGATTCTGAACAAACTACTTTCTCAAAGTGCGTTAATTATGTTACATGTTGTATAGAGGTTGTTTTCTACTTAATTTTCGATAATCTTAGTTTTTCTGTAGGATATGGGTGACAAACGAGCACACAGTCCACCTGATGTTAAGTAGTTGCTGCGGCCCATAGACATCTATAACTATCCTCGACTACGAATCAAAATGCATTTGCGTTGTCACCCGTGAGGACTAAGATGGGATGCCTCATTTCCAGTAAAAGGGATCCCCGGTTCTCTACACTAACCGTACGAAACACTCACTCAACGCTGCTGAGCTGCTATTTTTTTCGCTGATATTCTGTGAGAGCGTGATCTCGTTCCCTGGTCGAACCGACCCATTTGTACTACAACTTTACTACTAATATAGCTGCTGCACGGCTCTACCACGCTACGTAAGTTCTAAAAGACCTATAGATAATAGTATATTTTACTGATATGAATTAACCTTTTATGTGTGTAGTTCCTCCTCAAAGCCCGTTCATACAAACCAAGAGTTGTAATTTCATTTTCATCTCCTAACTTAGGCTGTAATAAAAGAACACTGTTAATTTTCGGTATTCAGTAAGCGTCAACTATAAAATAACGATATTCTACCTTCATTAATCCAACAGTCTTCAACTCCTTAACAGTTGGGTCGTACGGATTCAAATCAAAATCTCTGTAAAATAAAACATTTTAAAAGACAACTATTTACCCGGCGGACGGTGGTCTGTCATTTTTAGAAAGTATGCGAAGAATTTTACTCCAAACTCAGTCGTGGGCTTTTTACAGTGTAAATATGATTTTTTTCAATTCGACTCCTATCGGGTTCAGGCTTAGTGATTATCTTTTCTATACCTACACCTATAGTACGGCCAACAAGCAGCGATACGAAAGGTCATTTACCTTAAAAACGACTGTGGAGTTGACAATCTATCATCTATCTCTTTTCATCTTGTGTATTTGTCGTACTATTATATTTTAACATTTTTACTTCAGCATTATTTTACAATTAAACTATAGTTGTTAAAAAGGGTTAAATAATTAAACCTTTTCACGTAAAATAAAAAATTCAGAGCTCTTAGACATTAGATTATTATGTTTAAACATCTTCGTGTATTGCAAATATTGAGAACACCGAAAGGCGGTCTACGGCTGCTCGAGGTCAAATTGGCTTTGACCAGATTCAGGTCGCCAATAATCCTTTTAGGACGCCTTTCCATTAAGCTGCAATGTGACATTTTGCAGCATTAGCCTATATGTGACAGGAATACTACACGCACAACTGGACTAGCGCTTTATAGAGCGTGAGCAGCAATCTAAATGAAAAATGAAGTACCGCCGCGCATTTGCTAAGATACTTTTGTACATGGACCTACGCATACTCGCCTTGCGGTGGCAACGAACAGTTGTTCCACCGACTATAAACCCATGGAGTTTTCAAGATGTTGGCAAACAAATTTAACTTCATTTGCTATTGCTTTCAGTTTCGGCGTGCCTCGAATTGTACATTGTACTCTATAATTCTGTTTGTATGAGGGTCATGAACGCCATTTTTTTTTTTCTATTTTAAAGAAGAAAGACAATTTTTTTAACGATATAAACCTCAGATTAAAGATATAACAAAAGGAACTTTTACATCTTAACGTGTGGAATAAACATGCTTATTAACCAGTCCGAAAAATGTGTAAGGCTCCATTAAGAATATATTGATTACGAAAAATAGTTTATAATTATTGACCTCTATCCCGCGAATTTATTTATCCCCACTCGAATTTTTAGTAATCTACTTCTTTTTACCTGCAATATGTAAATGGTAATTTGTCGTCTCCAACGGAACGCACTACGTACACTGCTGCTATTGCTGCAATAGTGCAGCATGTTATGGCTCGCACTATTGCGTTGATGCATATTGCTATACCGATACCTGTTATAAGAAATACACTGTTGTCAATGACAACTGATGATAATATTGTACCTATTTAAAAAGATTTTACGTTGTAGAGCCATGCTGCAGTTAATTTATTGTTGTGGAACAAATGGGTCAGCTCGACCGGTGAAGGACCACGCTCTCACAGAATACCAGCGTAAAATAGCTGCTTAATGTTGCTGTGTCTCGTATGGTGAGTGTAGAGAATCGGAGACCGCTTTTACTGGAATCGAGGCATTCCATCTTAGTCCTCAGGGTTGACAACACGTTTGCATTTTGATTTTTAATCGAGGAAATATGTAGATATCTATGGCATCCACTTACTATCAGGTGGACTGTGTTCTCGTTTGTCACCCTTATTCTATAAAATAAAAAGATCACACACCACTAATGTGAATGCCTCGTGTCCAGTAAAAAGGGTCTCCGGTTCACTACACTCACCATATGAACCACATCAGCATTAAGCTACTATTTTACGCTGGTATTCTGTGAGAGCGTGGTCCTTCCTCGGTCGGGCCGACCCATTCGTGCTACAACTATACTACTAATATTACTTCAGTGTGGCTCTACCACGTATAAAGGGTGAATAAAACAACTATTTCATTTAGTGTCAACTTAGCTGCATGAAGTGCAAAAATCTATGGACTGATGACCGAGGCTCTAGCGATGATAATGGTAACCGATTGATAGCGGATAAATATCCAAAACCTCTGTAGGTACCCAAATTCCACATACATGTGTAAGATTATCGTGGCGACTAATAAGCATATTGTTGCGCGCCACAGTTGATGGCACTAGCGCCATCTGGTATCAAGTGTCAGAAATAGGAGTGTCAAGATCTTTCTGGAACTCTCCCAACAACGCCATCTAGTAACGAATAGAAGAATTAAGCAAGTCCACGCTCGAACTTTCCGCACTTAGTCGGCGGGGACCGGTATTTGCTGGAACATTCTGGATGTTTCGGTGGGAAAGGTGTATTTAAAGCCGCTGCAAGCCGCGATCGGGGCAGTATTGAATTTGGTGATACAAGCGAAGCTTCGGAGAGAAACAAAGTGAATCAGTGTGATTAATTATTAGTGTCCTTTAAGTTTTAATTGGTGTTCGGTAATTAAAGTGTTAACTTTGGTAATTCAATCGGCAGTTTTTTATTGTCACGAATCCTAAGCTCGTAAAAATATTATGTTGCCAGAAACGCGTATCACCTAGTGAATTCTTGGAAAGGCTGTTATTAGCAGTGCGCTATTAGGTCCATCTAAATTATTACTTATACAGGTGTCCGGTAACTAATGCATAATCCTGAAGGTACTAGTAGGGCGCACCTCGGCCACTCAGAAAAAATTAAATAAAAAATATATCTATAGCAGTCTGGAAAAAAATATCTACTTTTTTAAAGGTATGAAATTTGATGCCTCCGTTCATATTATTGAGTACTACGGCTTCGATCAACAATAAGAATAATATCCAACTAGATAATGGGTCACGTACAAAATCATAACCGAATACTGTCCGCATGAATATAAACTATGAAAAGACATAAATTAAATAACATTTAGTGTGAAATCAACCTTAAGCTATGACAAATAAAGTTCTTTTTCCCGTTATGGCCTTGCGATCTACACCCTCACGTGCAAGAGCTCACGTCTCATGTGCGCTCTTATTTACTGAGATGGATTTCTTGCGCCGACCCGACATCTAGTTGGTATTGCTGATCGAAGTACTACGGCTATAAATTTATTAATAACATGACGTAATGTTAAAATAGCAGGTTTAAAATCCGCTATAATAGGCGGAAATGTTTGAACTTACCATCTAACACCGGTATAATCCGGAAAGCTCGACCAGGTCCACTAATGCTCCATTGGCCGAGGTACACTTCAAAGTGACGGAGCGGATTAGCCAGCAACATCACCGCCAGTGTGAGGAACAACATGAAAACAACTGATTTTTTTTTATTATCTACATAACATTACATTCGCGAACGTGATACAACGAAATTGTAGAGAAATAATGTATCAACGCATACATACAAATCGAATGTTAACTGTATTTAATTTTTGTGAAAACATGTTACACATGAAAAATAAAAATAAAAACTGTAATTTTCACAGAAAAATAATACAACAGAATCAAATTACACTACGATCGTACTTACAATTATTATTAATTTTGTAAATATTTGCTGAAAAGTGACTCCCAGTGACTTATTTTTAGTAGCATTTCAATGACAATTAAATGAATATTTAAAAAAAAAAAGGAGAACAGGATACGTGTACTAATGACCTAAAAAATTGGTCGTTAGCGACAATAGTGCCGATCGTGAATCACAGTTGGACGTATTTTTCGTGGAGCACTTTCTGCGGTTTGGTACCGTATCATCCCTTTTTTTCTTTATATCAATGATTTCGAGCGTGAATCGCAAACCACATTTAAACAAGAACGCAAATGTTGGTTCTCGTTAGTGGTTTCTATTGTGAATGTCCCTGAGCTTCTGACACCGCATTCCAGCTGCAGCTTATCTCCGAGCGTCACACGCAGGATACATGTATTAAGATATTAGCACAATGACAACTTTCACAATGGCCACTGTGTGACCATCTGCGTAACAAATGAGTTCACCTCAGTCCCAACTAGCGACATCTGGTGACCGTAAGATTGATTATCAGCCCTCATTGCGACTCTGCCTCTGTGTTAGATTTCACTGGTTGCATTCCATTTCCGATCATCATACGCCGTAGTGAACTTTTCACCGTTTGTTGAAATCGTTCAGGAACACATCAACTCGCTTTGTTAGGTATCATTGTTAATCTTCACTGCACAAGATTTTAAAATATTTATATAGTATAGTAAAACTTACAGGAGCCTCCCGTCAGTGCAGCAGCTGCGATTCGGCAATGCATCGTTAAGAAGGCACCAAGAGTTAGCGCCCCAATGCGCAGTCGACGGCGCCCGGCGACACGGCGTCGTGGCAACCCGCCAGCTGCGTTATCCATGCCTGGTATGTGCGTTGTGGACCACACCACTGACCATTGACTTTGCTGCCTCGCAGAACATATTCATTTTTAATACCTTGTATCGTATCATTCCTATCGACTGATTATGTAAAGAGCAATAAATTTTTATTAAAAGATTTTTTTTTCATTCCAAATTAGTGAAAAAGCTCATACCTAAGTACTATTTTCAAAATTAAATAGTGACAGAGGTGGTAATCAAAACTTTAGAAGAATAACGTGTCCGTAAAGGATTAAGTTCAAAAGAGAAATGAACGTAAAATGAAACATAAGTAAATGTGTAATTCCTTCTTACCACATCCCTGTTTTGAAAATTTAATATCGTTTCTAAAGAATTAACGTGGCGAATCGGCGACACCGACATCTTTACGTCGGAATTCTACAAATTATTTAATATATCGCTTTAAATTGCATAGCGTGAAATTTTGTTAAAATAGCATCAAAACAAATTTAATTTTAATAAAATATTAAGATCTCATGATATCATAAATTTGACAATAAAAACATAAACTGACAGTAATTTGTCAATACCAGTCTACTAAACTACTAAACGTAGTGATTATGTTCTCTTTGCAGTCAACTCCAAAAACTTTGGAAACAAAGAGCATATTATTACCAATAAGCTAGCCGGGACCTTTGTGAGATAGACTCAATTATTTTTGGCGCCGCACAGGCAGTATGCGGTATTATTGGAGCCAGGATCCCCACGGCTGGACGTGCTACTAGACAAAGTAGCGCCATCCCAGCCCGAAGTATAACAATTGAGGATCGTATCGCAGAGGCTAGGGTCTTCATCGGCAGACTGATAAGCTTCAGGTCGAGTAATTACAGGCCAAGAATTGTGCGCACCGTCAGGATGGCGTTTGCTGGGACAAATGTCAGTTTGCCCAGCTAGATTTAACGCAAAATCTGACGAAGCGCATAATCGATCTGAAGCAGCGAGTTGCCGCTTGGAGGAATCGGATTCAGCAATATACCGAGAGGTCAACACGGTTTAACAATAATCGTCTCTTGCAGTGATTAGAACAAGTTCTATAAATTATTGGAGCGTTCAATGCTACGTGCAACAGGTCTAGCACCGAATCAGGCCAATATTGTCGCATTCTGTCGCGTCTCGTGGTCAGAGCCTGTAAACCACATCTAAGGGAGATGGAAGTTGTGTGGCAGTGTGTGAATAGTACGCTCGTGGACCCCGTCATCATGACGCCGGACGACATAATTGAGGCGGTCCGAAGGGCTTCCAACTGAAAACGTCCGAGACGCAGACAGGCTGCATCGTGGTGTGTCACGCTTTGCTCGCCCAACAGTTTCAAGGGGCTTTCGACCAGAAGTCGCTCTCGAGCCTCTTCACTACTGGGATCACTCATTTGGTTGCTAAAGACCAGGATATCATAGATCCGAGCAAATACCGCCCCATCACGTGTCTAGATACTCCTACCATATAGAAGACACTAACATCCATTTAGAGCGCGAAAATCACTAGTCGCCTGGACTCAAATCAGGTGATGTCGCGCGCTTAATATAGATGTCGGAGCGGTGGTCGTGGAACCCAGGAAACACTCCTCATTGACGCAGTCATTGGCGAGGAGGTTAAACGCAACCGTCGAAATTTCTGCACCGCCTAGATAGACTACAGAAAGGCCTGGTACTAATTTCAGTTCGACTCGGTGCCTCATACATGGGCTAAAGTGGGTCCTCGGGCAGTAGAGAACGATCCTTTGTCATAATGATTTCTTAAATTTACGCGAACACTACACATTGAATAAAACTAAATTTACGGATTTTATCGCGTTTATTTCACTACTTTTACTTATTTTTAATTAAACTTATTTTTATTTTTACAGCAACCATGGTCACGGGGGGGACTGAAATGTTTGACGTCCCAATGTCATAGTTAGTCCGGCTACCTTCAGTTTTTGAATATTAATTTTTTTTTTAATTTTTTTTAATTTTTGCGTAAATCGGACCAAAAATTAATATTCTAAAACTGAAGGTAGCCGGACTAACTATGACATTGGGACGTCAAACATCTCAGTCCCCTCCGTGACCATGGTTGCTGTAAAGCACTCGAAACGTCGGGAATTAAAAATAAGTAAAAGTAGTGAAATAAACGCGATAAAATCCGTAAATTTAGATCCTTTGTCATCTAGGCGAACGGATAATAGCTGCGGAAAACCGCGTAAAGACAAGAATCGGTATCTTCCAGAACGACTGCGCTTGAGTCCAATCTAGTTTTGTCTCTCTCTCTGAACCTCCTTAATACCTTACTGTAGGGCTCCGGGAGGAGATTTCAGTTTCGAATAAAAGGGGACTAAAGCGACCCACCTTTTCTAAATGGATGATCTCAATTTATTCGCCTCCAGTTGTTTCTATCTTGTAGAATTGCTGAAAATCACTTGATTTTAGCGATTCTATCGAAATGGGGACGTATGCGGTCCTCCATGTCGAAAGGGGCAGCGTTGCTAAGGGCATGCTCTGAGGACATAGACTTATCCATGCCTATCAATATGAGGATCCTGATAAGATTGGTTATGCCTGTGTTATGACTTGAGGTTGTACTTGCCGCGGAAACATAGTGGGTGTGGCTTTCTAAGCGCGCTTACCATGCATAAACGCAAAGTCCGCGGCCTCCGTAATTACTTCCTGATGATATAGGTCCATTCTACATGGGTGTGATTTCTTGTGATAAGGGTCTTACCCCTCTAACCTTAACCAACAAGCAATGGCAAGACCTGGCAGTACGGAGCATTTCCGATCGGAAGACCGTATGGAAGGCGAAAAAGCTTCACGGGAAGTTCTACAAGGCTCTACATGAGCATATCGTAGATAGAGTGGCCTCTCTCAACTGGATACCCTTCGGTGACGTCTTTGGGGAAACCGAGGATTTTTTTTGTCTGTGCGTACAGGATCAGATTATTAAGACCAACAACTATCGGAAATACATCCTAAAGGATGGCGCCGCGCCGATAACATCTGTCGAGCTTGTCATCAACACGGTGTCACTTAGGTATCTCATCTCCAGTTTTTCGGTACTTTAACATTTTGCGTGTTTGCACGGACACCACCTAGTGGCCAGGATTCTACACCAAGAGCTCGCTCTAAATACGGTATTATGGGTCGGAAACTGTCTTATTATAAGTACTTTCCAGGCTCAGCTGAGATTGGGCTATTATCAGACAGTAATATTCTTGCGAACAAAATATGTGAATCTGGCTCACGAGGTGACCGAATGTGGGGTGGTGTATCGAAATTATACCTGTAGTCGTTTCTTCGAACGAGTTAACCCCAGTCAGCCTCTCACGTCATCTGAGGCAACTGAGACTCCGTGACTGACAGCTCCGGACTCAAATACAGAAGGCGGTGCTCCTCGATACCGCCCGCATCGTCCGTGGCGAAGCTAGGGCTCCAAACTAGGGCAAGCCCAAGATATGGTTTTGTTGTTTTTAGCAGTTTAATAAAATACACCAATCTAAAGCTGTCTCCACTCTTTAGTTTCATATTCAGTGCTGACAAGGACGTGTTTGACACACAGAAAGAATACTACCGCTAGATAGATTGTATGACATAATATGCAATTGCACACCTTCGGTGGTTTTGAAAAGAGCCGTTTGGGTTTGCTTGAGATATTTACAAACAATACAATACATGAACAAAAGAAAAGCATGAACAAAGTACAAACAAACTATGTACAAAGTTAAAAAAGGGACGCCTGGCAGATGTGAAACCTCGAAATTATATTTTGTTTTAAGTAATATGCATAAAAGAACAGATTACGACAGGAATTAGATAGATATAATGAGAAGATAAAGCTTTGCTATTTTTTACCATAAAATAATGACTATTTATTATAATTATAATTATTCATTTTCAATTCATAATAAACCGTACAAAATGATATTTTTAAACTCATATAATATCACTATAAATTAGCCGTTAGCGTATTTGTGCCATCTAGCGTAATCTTTAGGTACCATCGTGAGAATCAACCAATTTTCGTTCGATAAAATGACTTTACCTATAGAATTAAGTAGATGGCGCCATTAAAATTTTATATACTGAAAAGTAGACAGAGAAACCTAACTGGAAATAACTAAAGGGAGTAAGTACTATTCTTTAAAAACCTCAATACATTCTTCTGTATTCTTTTGATTTATTTAATTAAAATTTGGGCTTCACGTTAAAAAAAGATTGTAACAGTTATTTCCTCTAAAATTAAACCGAGGTCTCATACTTTACGCTGCGTTTCAAATTGATATTTTTAATTCATATGGTAATATAAATATTGAGTTATTAAACCTTTAAATACGCCTAACTTAATTACAGAGTCCTGTACCTATATTTAAAGTATGAAGAAATGTTTATTAAATATTAAATTTCATTTTTAAAGATTTTTACCTTTTCCTCGCCGATTAGCACTTCAACACACTTATATTCATCACAATGAACACTATTATCCTCCCATTTTCACTGAAAATCTTCGAAAAAGCATAAATTTTTAACAAACACAACAAAAACAAACATAAACATTGAAATATGAAGTGAACTTGCATACGAGGGGCCCGCAACCACTTCGCTAGTCGCTAACGCACTCCTTAACAACTTCATGGCAAAGCCAGTCTTATTGGCTCAATAGTAATTGCTATATAAACATTTCGTAGTTATATTTCATTATAGAATATTTGAAAGCACTTAAAAATGGCAGGGCCCCAGGGGAGGATGGAATTACAGCGGAGCTTCTGAAAACGGATGGAACACCGGTACTTGAAATCCTTCAGAAGCTCTTCAATTCCGTCCTACATGGTGGCACTACTCCGGAGGCGTGGAGCAGAAGTGCGGTGGTCTTGTTCTTTAAGAAAGGCGACAACGCTCTCTTGAAGAACTACAGACCGATTTCCCTTCTGAGCCTCGTCTACGTGCTGTTTTCGAGAGTCATTACGAATCGTCTCGCACGCAGACTCGACGACTTCCAGCCTCCCGAACAA